GCACCCCTTACCTGGTGCGGCGCCGGGTGCGCGGTCCGGGGGCGACCTTCCCGGCAGGCCTCTCAGGTGCGCTCAGACAAAGCGAACAAAGCGGGCGGCGCTCGACTCCGCGCGGCAGGTAGGGGCGGCGGGCGCGGGACCGGGACCCGCTCGCTCTCTCGGTGGAGGTGCGCCTGCCCCGCCCCGCCCCGCCCTTCGCCCCGCCCCGCCCCGCCCCGCCCTTCCTCCCGCTCGCCGCGAGTCCTGGGGCTCCCACCCGCGGAACCCTGCGAGCCGGGCGCTGGCTGCGCTCGGGCCACGCGGCGCACCTGCGGGTCTCTCCCCGCGGAGGATCCCGCCGTGAGGGCGGCGCCACCGCTGCTCCCGGAACGGCCCTCGCCCCTCGCGCGGAAAGGTTGACTTTGGCGTCGTTTTTCACTGGTCACGGCTTCCACCTTTGGCCAGCCCTCCTGTTCTTACTGCCGTTGGGGGATTACTGGTCAGCATTCTTTTTAGAGTGCCTGGTGTGTAACTGAAGCGTCGCAGAATGAAATGGTGTGCCTCTGGCAGGGACTCTGTGCACATAAGCGCGATCATTTTCATACTGCGCCAAAACCGCATGTTGTACGCTCAGTGGCAAAGTTTAAAGAATAGAACAGGAGCTCAGCTGCGGACAGCTGCAAAGCGCGTCACTTCCTCCTACGAAACTTGGTTCGCTCTACCGAGCTAACGTGAACGTCCGCACCTGTGCTGAAAATCTGCCGTTTGGGCACTGCAATACCGCCCTGCATGTACCCATTTGCTGCTAGATTACAGCCTTGTGGGGCTGCCCAGTTCTATCTGGAAGCTAAGGGTTAGGGTTACAAGAGAGACAGAGACAGAGAGCGCGTGCACTTTTTTCCTCCCTCTGTATGGGTTCTGAAGACCGAAATCACTCCAGCAAGCTTGAAGTGCCTTTACCGAGTGCCTTTACCCACGAGGCTATCTCCTTGACCAAAGAATTTAAAAACAAAACATTAGCCAACTGCCTTCCAGGAAGCTGGTCTCTTCCCTATTTTCTGCGTCCTTCCCCACTATTCCTGTAAATGTCAACCTGGCGGGTAAATAACAAACTGTGTTTTCACACATTTTAAAAACATTTGTTGCATTTCATTCTGTAGTCTAAGCTGGGTTTTGACTCCTGTCAGACAGCTTACAGGGAACCTGGCTCCCAGGCAGCTTGGGTGTGGCAAACTTCCCTGGAGAGGGAGAGAAGTTTTATTTTCTGTCTGCACTCAGTTCATCCCTTCCATTGGCGTTTACTGGAGCACTGACCGGTAAAATCGGGAACACTCCTAGATAGCATGTGCGTGCCCCACAGACGTGGTTATGGCGGGGGAACTTGCCTCCCAAGTATGAAAGTGACAGGGGATGTCTGCCCCAGTGCCAGTGTTTTTTCTGAGAAATGGGGGCACATGTGGAATTTTAAATGTTTTACTGGCAATAAAAGGACAAAAACAGGTGACCTCCATCTTGATAGTATTAACCCACAGATCCCAAGTTATTTCAAACATGTAACCAATGCACACTCTACTAAGCCTAAGAGGAGCACCCGTGGTGGTGGGCCATGCTGCTCCAGCCGGTAGCCCTTAGCAAGTCAGCTCTGACACCCTCCCATCAGCATCTGCTGCGCTTCTGTGCCAGCAGGCTCACACCACGGAAAAGCTGTGTTCCAACTCTGGGCCTTCCTAACATTTTACCTACGTGGGGTTTCTTCACATTTCACCTCATGACTAAAACCTCAATGTAGGGACGTAGCCTGCCATCCCAAACACGCTCAGGGAAGGTGGTGAGGGCAGCAGTGTGGCCCAGAGGCTCTCAGGACTGAGCAGTGGTATGCGGAGCGCAGTGGAGGTGGCTAAGCCAGGCCGAGGCCTCCAGCATAGCTCAGCAGCTGCTCACAGCCCTTCAAGATGCATGAGTCATTCATCCTGCAGAGCATTACCCAAGGTCCCCACTCTGCTCAGAGCTCAGGGCTCAGGGCTGTGCCTTGTCTTTTTGGCCCCAATGCTTGGTTACTTACACAGAGTAACTTGGGTTTCTGTTTTCTTCTCAAGAGAGGGTTTCTCTGCAGCCCTGGTTGTCCTGGAACTCGGTCTGAAGACCAGGCTGCCCTGGAACTTAGAGCCTCCTGCCTCTGCCTCGTGAGTGCTGAGACTAAGTGTATGTACCACACTGCCCGGATGGGTAACTGCTCTTTTAAAGTTCTCAAATTGTCCTGCAGTGTTTCTGTGCGCGCATGCGCACACACACAGATGAGGACTTCAGCACTCCTGAGACACAAGTGTGGTGGAATGACCATGGCTTTGGAGCTGGCGTGTCAGCAGGCCTTAACCATTTCTGTTGGTTTTGTAATGCAGAAAATATGCTTTCTCTTAGATCTCCTGGCCTGTAGACAATGATGTCAGGATTTCTCACTGGATATAGCCTCACCCTAAGTCTTCACCTCCATCATGAAAGCATACTTGAAAGGGAAGAGAGGCAAAGCCAGGCACCTGCAGACCAGCAAATGTGTGCGCCCTTGTCCCACTGAGCAGCTACCATGTGGGGCAAGGGATGGAGGATCAAGCAACCGACCAGGAAACAAAGGGAGCTCATGAGCACTGCGCCTCACCTTCAAACGATGCCAAAAGTTTTAAAACTTTGTGGTGGCAACAGCGCTCCCCCTCTGGTAAGAGCTGCCCAGAGAGTGAGGCTCCTAAGCGCTTGTCCCTATCATGGAGGCCCCAGGCCCCTCACCAAGGTCTTAGTGCCTGAGCCAAGCCATGTTCGGGTGTGCAAGGTGATGATCCAGGTAATGGAGACTGCAACAGCCAGGTCCTGGCAGCGTGGTAGGAACAGCTGGCCAATTAGTGCTGAGGAGTGTGGCAGGCTCAAATCTTTACCTTCATACAAACTTGAGTCAAAAGTCACACAGCACACTTCTCTCCGTTTCTGCCCCTGCAGTCACCACCACAACCTCCCTGGCTTGACAGGCAGCCCTGAGGCACACTGCAGACGAGCCCCCTTTGTTTCCTGGAGGACCTTCCCTGAAATCTTGATGTTCACACAGTCTCTGTCCAGGAAGTCCGCTGGTGGCTGACACATAGTCTCAGCTTTAGTGCATGCGGCCAGAGCCTAACTGGACACCCAGAGGGCAGCCGAAGCCCGAGAGCTGGCCCCGACGGCTTTGCACAGCCATAAAGTGTCTGTCACAATGCCAGGCCCCAGCTGGAGTTCAGGAAATATTTGGGGAATAAAAGAAATCGCTGACACATTAAAAGGGGTCAGAAACAAAACTCAGCGCTGTTGTTTACTAAGGCAAGCAGGAGGCATCGGCGTGTACCACTGCCTGCCCGTGAGCCTGGGTCCAGGGAACAATTACCCCTGTGTGAACAAGCTGACCCTCCAAGTTCGAAATGCAATTAGTTTCTAGTCAAGTATCCAGGGCCACGTGGACTCTCAAGCAATGAAATCTGACTAGGGACACCGGACTCTTCAAGAGTTGCCTGGCTTCTCAGGATGCAGAGGCCATCTTGCCACACCACGCTGCCACGTGCATTTTCACGCTGGGGTTGCAGCGTATGTGAGAGGAGGAGGGAGGGCAAAGGGCAGCAGTAAGCACAGAAGGGCCCAATGCAGACAAGTGACTTTACTGGACAAATCAGAACAAACTTGTTAAGTAAGCATAGGCACTTCAACATTCAAGCGACTTTCTACAGAAAGGAAGTCTGCCTAACAGAAGAGCTGACAACCATCGCCAGCAAAATACAAAAGGAAAACAGTGAACAAAATCCCAGCGACATCAGTGTTTTACTTGAGTTGGCAGTATCGTCTCAGGGGGCCACAGTCCTGGGACTATCACAACAGAATCTGGGCTGCCAGGAAGGCAGCTGCCTCACGAGTTTGCACATGGCCGAGTTTAGGGCAATCTGTGACCACGTGCTGTGACAAAATAAACATGCTTTCAGTTTTTAAATTGATGACTGAATTTGTGCCTGAGAAAATAGAAATTATTTCTAGCGAACAAGTGTGGATGGCCACAGACTAGGCAGACAACCCCAGAGGGCATTGTGGAGGGACACCCAGCATCCTCCCAGTGCTCTGGGAGCTCCTGACGCACTCTATGATCCCAGCACAGACAAGTGAAGCAGTGTGTGTTCCCGGAGCCAAGCAGGGGAGGGCTCGCAGCCCAGAAGCAAAGGAGCCAAACAGCATTGGGGAAGGCGGCAGACATCAGGGAGCATCTCATCAACAAATGGCAGGCAGGCCCGTGGCACATGCCTGTGATCCCAGCACTCAAGGAGGCAGAGGCAGGCGGAGCTCTGTGAGTTTGAGCCCAGACTGGTCTACAAAGGGAGGACTACACAGAGAAACCCTTTCTCGAAAAACCAAAATAAAAAAAAAAAAATGTATGAAATGTACAGACAATGCTAAAGCCCACCTATCTATCAACTAGACCTTCCCAGCGCCACCACCAGCTTTATTTTCTTCAACACTTTCAAGTAGAGAGAGATGCGGGAGCTGACTCTGTGAGAGTGCTCGCCTAGACATGCGAGGCTCTAGCTTCCATACTCAGTGAGGCAAATACAGAGAGAGAGAGAGAGAGAGAGAGAGAGAGAGAGACAGACAGACAGAGACTCTTAGTAGAAGGCACCTTGCACCCCCCTTCCTACCCTTCTCCTAAATTCTGTGTCTTGATGCTGTTTGGGGCTCTTTGTATGAGAAAGCATCTAACTATGAGGTTAGGCTTGAACTTGAGGTCTTCCTGCCTCAGTCTCCTCATGGCTGGGATTACAGGTAAGCACCATCATGCCTGGCTAGTACACCAATCTCCTATGTAAGATTCATGAATTTCCTGTGAAGAACTGGGGGTGGGCAAGCAAACCAACAGAACAAAGTTAAGCAAGTCCAGGTGGAGAGAGCAAGGTCGCTAAGGAAAAGGAACAAGGAGTCCCAGCAAGCAGAGCACAGATCCAGTTCTTTCCCAAGCCTCGCCTTGGTTGTTGCCTTCCTCCCAAGCACTTATTTCTGAGATACCGCTTCTGAAAGAGAAAAACCAACCATCATTACACAAAAATATTATATAAAAATCACTATGGTTCTTAATTTCAGGTTTAAGTACAAGCAAACCAAATACCTTAACTGGAACTATACATTTACATTATATCTGTCAGATAAAACATGAAACATCTCCGTAAGTTTAATTTTTATTGATATTAACATTAACCAGAGCTAATTATACTCTCCACAAATATAAAATGTAGCTCTTTGTACTCTTCTCCAAAAGTAAGAAATTTTATATGAATTTACTTAATTATCCCTTTAAGAAACATATAGCACTCCTCTTGAAAAAATTTGTAATTCAGTAACATCTTTGGTATGTAGTTATATAATAATAATTTTTAGACAAGGTCTTTCTAGACCAAGCCATGCTAACACACACTTTCCCCTTGCCTCAACTCCCCAAGGCCGGCACTGCAGGTGTACCTGACTCACAACTACTAACCGAAGCCAAACAACCTACCAGTTATAAAAGCCTGAAAACTGTAAACACGTCTTTATCTGTGGGAAGATTAATTAAGGTGAGATTGTACGGTTCCATTTCCCAGCAAAACGAGGAAAGAACGCTTGAGCGCCTGTGTCACCTCACCCACGCCCTGCAGATCGGCACCAGCCTAGAAAGATGCTGCAGCCCAGCACACACACAGCCCAGGCCAGCTCCTCACCTGTGAGCTGAGACAGTTGGCAGTGGGAGGTGTGGAGGGGACAGTTTGTGTGTGTGGGATGCACCTCTGCTTCCTCATCCAACAGTAAGATGCCTCTATTGTGTGCTGAGGGTGTACACGCGTGTGATGGTAGGGGGGAGGGCCAAGGTGCATGCATACTGTGCCCACAGCTATGGAGGTCAGTGGACAGCCCTGTCTACCTGTGGTTTCACTTTACAAACACCTCTCAGTGGCCTGGAAATGCCCCGGTAGGTTGGGCACAGTCCCGGCCTGTCTCTGCCTCCCCAGTGCACTTCTGTGAGGACGATGTAAACGAGGCCCAGCCCAGTGTAAAGCGCTACGCTGTGTACTCGGACAGGAAACCGTGTATGTTTTAAATCAAGCTCTCTAATTTTCTAGAAACAACTGAGAATAACAGTTTTATCTTAAATTGTATATCTTTCTGTGTAGCTTTTATCTTAAATTCAGTGTCTTTCTGAAAAAAAGCTCACTGCACAGATCAATAGACAAAGCACAAACGAGTTCAACAATGATTGAAGGGGTAGCCTTGGCGCTGGGCTAAATGCAAAAACTTGCGTCTGTAGGCTCGTCAGTCTCTCTGGCGAAGATCGCCATTAAATTCAAGATTTTAAGCTCAGGCACACAAAACAGAAGTCCTATTTATATAGACGTTAAACTATCGCAATGAGAATTGTTGCTCAGGGCACCAGCTTAGGGCTCAACTGTGCTTCCTTATGAACACACACAGTAGAGGGGGCCACATCAAAGGCAGTCCTCAAAGGCACTGCTGCCACAGAGGAACAAGCCCCCTCCCCCCAAAATATAATGGAGAGCTGCTGCAGTGCTGCCAGGGCTCAGCAAACGCTGCTCTTAGGCCAACAGAGGCCCCGTAGGAGTGAAACGCACCTTTGCTTTGGGCTAACATTGTATCAACAAAAAGGGTAAGTAAAGAGGACAAAACCATTTGATTACTGGCTATAGAATACTTTCTGATGGCCCTCTTAAAGCAGTGTCCGGGCAGGGAGAAAAAGTAGGAAACTATTGGCAAAGTGCCGCCGGCAGGGATGGTGTGCACACTTTTCATTCTCCTCCAGCCCCACCCAAAGCAAGTACTAAACTTACTGGCACAGAGTCCAAGGGAGGCTGGGATGATTTCCAGTCTGGACAATTTGAGGCTAAGCTTTACCCTGTGACAATCTTTACAAGTCTCTCCACACACCGATAACGTGAGCAAGTCCAGAGTCAAACAATGAGAAAAGGCTTCCCCATATGCAGGCCCTACGGCAGGCGCACCAGGAGTGCCGGGACAAGGCAGCCCAGCAGAGACCTCACAGCGAACCACAAAAGGCATCCCAGAGCAGGCCCACAAGGCGGCAGGCCCTCTCCAGGCACCACAGAAGGGCAGAGACATGACTTACTCAGCTTTTCAGCAGCTTTTTCATCTCTATAAATTTATTTTGGTTGGTTGGGTTGTTTAAGAGGAAGAGAAGAATCTGTTCGTGTTTTTCAAGCTGTAGAGGAAGAGGAAACATCATGGCTTACTTTCTTACAGCGTCGGGTGTGGTTCCGTGTGAGGGAGAGGCACCCACCTGCTTCTGTAACTCTGCGCAGCAGCAGTCCGTACTGTGTGGCGTTTCTAAAAGCAAAATACAAACAAAAACAGCCACTAGGTCATGTCAGTGAGGAAACCAGCAGCCCCGGACCTGAAGACGCCTGTGCCTGTCTGTGTCTGTGTCTGAGTGGCAACTATACTCATCTGCTGCGACCTGGACTCACAGAGCGGCACTCCAGCCGAGGACCGGGTCTTTTGTGATGTGTGCAAGCCCCTTGGGGCAGGGTGGGTCTAATGCACGTCTCCTGGGTCCCGGGAAGGTTCAATCCCAAAGACACAAGGTCCTCTCATGCTGATCAGGCTCAAAGGGAACTGGGGGAAGCACAGCCACACTGTGCAGCCATTCTAAACCGCTGGGTAAGGTCGCCGCAGGAGTGCCGAGGAGGAGCGGGAGGGGCCTGAAGCCATAAGCAGCTAGGCGGTCAGGCCAGCTTAGACAATGACCCCTGCCACACTGCATCTCAGCGGTGCTTTGTTATTAGGCTTGAGAAGGCACCTTTACTTGACGAAGTTTTCCTTTTAGAAGAGAGGTTTTCCACCAGGCCACACATCAGCAGCTGCTCAGCTATATTGATCATTCCGTTCTCAGAACACTTTTCAACCGACACCGTGTGGACATTCTTCGAGATTCCTTTGACAGAAAGGATCACGCTCTGGTTCAGCATGGCATTTCTCAGCAGCTGTGTCACTAACTGCGAGCAGCTTCCGTTCAGTTCCACCAGCCCTGGAGAAGTTAAACACATGCTTATTCTACAAGTCATTTTTAAAGACGTACTTACTTATTTTTACGTGCATGAATGTTCTCTGTGTGTGTGTGTGTGTGCATACATGTGCACCCTGTGAACATGGAAATGAGAACTAGAGTCACAGATGGTTGCCAGCCATCATGTGGGTGTGTGGGTGTAAGGATTTAACTCAGTCCTCTGCAAGAACAAGCCATGCTCTGAACCACTGGGCCATTTCTGCAGCCCCTCACCTCCTTTTAGAGCCCGTGTCTAGTTCATCTAATGAGGCTGCTGGTGCAGCTGGTGCTGGGCAGGCTGTGGGGCACCAACATGAACCCGGGGTTAGAGCACGAAACAGAAATGCTCTGGCCTCCATGCTCTAGGGAAGGGCAACACATACAGAAGCCAAGCATGCTCTGAGTGTCAGCGCCAGCGTCTTAAGGAGGGCAGGACAGGACAGGGCCACCTCTGGCGTCCTCGTTTGTTTGCTCCACACATGTTCTACACACGCTGCAACTACAGCTGATCAGAGGCTGCTTCAGAAGCACAGTGAGGACACTGGGGTGACGCCAGCGAGCATCCCTGGCTCCTACAGGAAGCTGTGACAAAGCAGCAGACCCACGAGGGAGCTACAAGCCACTAGAGCCTAACAACAGGACAGAACACAAACCTTGACCCTCTGAAGGTAAGTCCCAAACAGAAAGACAATCGAAGGTAGTTTCATGCAAGTTAAAGGATAAACTCATTGAGAACTCATTGAGAAGATGCTTAGAAGAGGGTTAAGTGTAAGGACAATTCAGCTGGGACCCCAGGTGACTGCACATACCCTCCATTCGAAGTACTGGCCTTGCAGCCTGTTGTTCCTTTACCTGTATGTACTTTGCACACTCTCTCTGAGTAACCAACTCTTCCTTCTCTTGAACCCCATAAAAGAAAGCCTCCCCCCACAGTCATCAAAGCCCTTTAGGGGTCTCACTCTTGACAGCGCTTCCTCTGTAACCTGTCCTGTCACTTGCTCTGACTGAAGCTCCCTTGAGTCTCCTGTAGATCTGTGTGCCCTGACTTCCTAGTTCTGTGATGAGGCCAAGAACCTGGAAGCACCGGCCCAGAGCTCTCCACCACTGTGCCAATGTGATAAAACCATCTGATCCACACTTAAGAGCAGCAGAAGTGTGTACCCTCAAGTGAGCATCTGACGATGTGGAAGGGAAGCTCCAGGTGCCTGGCGGAGACTGGCTGCACCCGGGAAAGAGGCAGCATTTCGATGTTTCCGTAGTCAGCGTACAGCACTCTCACGTCTGAGTCTGATGTTTCCAGAACAACGGCCCGGTACCAGAAGTCATCACCTGAAAACAAAAGGACCTCAGCCCACAAATCATGGTCCAGAGCCCTGCCCCTTCCTTGAGACAGTTCTATCTACAACATGTAAAAACTCACACGTGCTTTCTAGTTAAGAGTCTGGAGTTTTCAATATTCCTTCCAATCCCTCTATGGAGACCCAAAGAGCCTTGATTTTGTTTTTTAAGTACAGGAACAAGAAACAGGACAGAAGATCATGCAATTCTGGAAGGCTGGAGAAAGATGTACAAATGGAAACAGCTTACAGCCAATGAGCTCATGTAAAGGTGGTAGTGAGGAAGCCAAACAGTCTCCCAGGAGCTACCAGGGCCTGGAGGTGAGGCAAAGGAGTGAGGCCAGGGTAAACACAGCACTTATCCTCCGAGACCTTTCAACAAACTATGTTTCAGTCTACAACATTTTTACATTCACTGAAGAGATGGTGAGCTTCATGCTTCCCTTCTCCAAAGGGACCATGGACTTGGGGAATGTGTAGCTGAGGAGAAGAAAGAGTTCCAAAGACTCAGTTAGGCACAGCGCATATCCCAGTCAGGAGACAGATACCAACAGGTGAGCACTTCCAGATGTTGTCCAGCTGCTAGTAGAGCCAAAGACCACAGTGGGTAAGCTCTGCTGTGCATAGACTTCCAAATAACCCTTGGGCATGTAACTAATCTTAGTTACATGAAAAGACATTCAAGAAAGCCTCTCACATGACAGAGAAGGCCAAAGCAAGCAAAACAGAACCTGGAGAAAGCAGAGGCAAAGGCTGAACGATCACATTCAAAGGTTGATGGCACAAGGACAAGACATTCCATTCTCAAAAGCATGAAGGGGACATTCAGGCACAAACACACCCAAGAAAACAACAGCTGGTGAAGCTACCATATGGCATCAAAACATAGGTGAGAAAAGTTAGGAAATGAAGAACTCCTGAATGAAAGGACAGCAAACAAATTCAGCAGAGTCTATGTCAAGCTCTGGAAGACTCAACAGAAGTCAAAAGGAGAAAATGAATAAAAGCTATGAGTTCAGGAGAAAAATCCCCAACCTGAAGCATTTCCAGACTTTGAGACTGCTCATGAGTGCCCAAAGCAAGCCACTGTGTGAAGTCACACTTCAGTCACACAGGATCAAGAGGACACTCAACGTCCCACACAACCAAAGGTTACGTCGAAACTTTGGAGAACCTATCTTTTAATCAAAAATACCAACAGCTAGCTGGGTGGTGGTGACACACACCTTTAGTCCCAGCACTCAGGGGCAAAGGCAGGCAGCTCTCTGTGAGGTCATGGCCATCCTGGTCTACAGAGTGAGTTTCAGGACAGCCAAGGCTAAATAGAGAAACCCTGTCTTGAAAATACAAAAACAAAAAAATCAAACAACAACAAAAATGGCAACAGTTAACACACAAAGCAATGCTTTCAAAATGACTTCCAACCCAGATTTTATATCCAGGAAAACTACAGCACCAAGGCTAGGCTTTTAGCTCACATGCAGCACCTTTCCTTAGCATCTAAGAAACAGATAGATCCAGACACTGGAGTAGATCCAAAGAGCAGCGAGGTCAAGTGAGGAAAGGAGGGAGGCAGAAAGGATCAGCTACCCAAGTGGAGTAGAAGACACTCAGCTAAGCCCAGGGCAGGGAGCGATGAAGACTGTTCACACAGTCCTCAGCATGAAGGTGAAGGACACAGCCAGGACAGCCCAGGTCTGGAGGACAAACACTCTAGAGGATCAGTTAGACTGGGATTATGGGAAACTGTGACCATGTCCACAGAGTCCCCTGAGGGGACCAATGCCGGTGTGGGGGAACAGGGACAGTGGGAGCAGACGGAACAACACTGCCAGCAGTAGCTCGACAGCAAGCGAACCAGGAGGCACAGAGCAGCACAGGGCAGTGTCTGCAGTGTCTGTGAGCCTCACAGTAATGAGGGGTCTTATACCCCAAGTCATGCTTTACTGGGATGAAAATGAGAACAGGCAGGTCCACAGGCCATACAAAAGTAAATTAAGACAGAAGTGATGCCGCTAAGATGATGGAGGCCCAGCATGCGACAGCCACTCTCCTGCTAGGAATGCGTGGACAGAGCTGCCTTGGTAAGACCTCCAAGATCCAGATGGGGTTTTCCGAGTTGGGGACATCCATTACATACTCCCCTATCTTGGCCTTGGCTGCAATTAGAAGCAGTCTCCCTGGGTACCCTGCTCTAGACCTGCTTGGCTAACAGGAAGCAGTGGGAACCATGCCTACCCATGCCCTCACAGCACCTCTGATCTGGCTCCCATCCCAGAAACAAACCAGAACCTTCTCAACAAGTGTTATTTGTATTAACAACACAATTTGTTGGCGTACAATGTTTAACACGCCTGTCCTGAGATAAGCTAATACTCCTTTTGGTCTCCTCACATGCAGAGCTCCATAAATATGGAGGACTCTGCACCAGTGACCACCAAACCAAGCCCTTGTCCTTTGAGCTGGTTAACTGAGCACACATAGACCCTTACCTAAAAATAGCCTACATAGAATGGAAAAGCAGATGACCCTAGCATAAGTCACAATTTTGCCTTTCTTAATGTGTCTAACCAAATGAAATATGCATTGAAGACACCAAAATCTATATCATCTTATAAAAAGGTAACAACTAATATTTCCCAGCAGTATTTCACGCAAAGGAACGTTACTTGTATATTTGGCACAGCATGCTTCTCCTGTCCGTGGTCTGTAGGATGGCTGGCCTTTCTGAGCATTACAGTGTTCTAGCAATTCGGCCGTTAACACACACAGCTTTTCTTGATTTTCTGAAATACAAGCAATCTCCAGTGTGAGAAAGTCTCCAGGGCTAACAATAGTGACAATATACACAGAATCCAAGTCTAATCAGCCAGGGCTCTCTGCACATTAAAATGCACATTGTGTTGTAAGAGTAAATTATCTTATGCACAGAGATTTGAACTCAGGGTTATGAGGAGCCTCTGGGGGCGTGGGGTGATTCTGCTAGTGAGCTCCCTCTACAAACATTTACTAACTTTATTTATTTGCATTTTACATTTATTCACAGTGGGGGATGCCATGGCACCCATGTGGAGGTCAGAGGACAACTTTCAGGAGTAAGGACTGCTGTCAAGAGCTGGCCTCTCATCAGCCTTAAGTAGTCACATTGGTTAGAAACAGAAATGTTTCACGATAGAGTTCAGTTACAAAGAAAAGTAACATGTAAGATTGGTTCTGCTCTTCTTGCTTAAGGAAGTTTATAATCAAGCAACCTCCTAAACGTTTGTGAAACCATCCCTGTAGCATTGGCAGGTCAGTTGGGTACAGGTGGAAGCATCTGTTCAGATCTACTTTGGGGAATTTTAACAATGAAAGAAATGAAGTCTGCTTCAAACTGTCAACCCAGGAACTGTAGTAATACCAATTATTGCTCTTAAGCTTTTTCTCAAAAATCACAAAAACTTACCTGTAATCTGTATAGTGAAAAGCAGAGGCTGGGGCTGTCTGGGACAGTCTACAGTACAGGTGAGCTGACGCTATACGTAAGATCACCTTCTTATGTACAACATATTGAGAGTACACAAACAGTCATAAAATGTTGCTGAAGCTGAGTATTGAGAATTGAGAAAATTTCATAAGCTAACCTACACCCTCACCTAAAAATAACTTATATAGAATAAAAAGCTGATGAAATCTGCATATGAATTAAATCCTATCTTTGCCTTGCTCAATTTATCTAATCAAATGAAATATGCACTGAAGATACAAAAGTCTGAATCATCTCACATAAAAGGTAACACACTAAAATTTCCCTGTACTTCACTTATGTATCTGGTATAGCCTATTAGACCAATCTGTGGTCTGTAGGACTGTACAGACCTAGAATATAGACATGCAAACAACCATTTTTAATTTAAAAAATTATTATTAATTGATTACTAAGATTAATATTATTGGAAAGTGTTCTGGTTGAAGCTCATTTACCTGGCTGAAGGTTAACTTAGTAAATATAGTTCAACACAGAAAATGTGTTTTAAATAAAGAAGTTATGTGGAGCTAGGCACAGTGGTGCACGCCTGTAATCCCAGCACTCAGAGAGACAGAGGCAGGTGGATCTCTGTGAGTTCGAGGCCAGCCTGGTCTACAAAGTGATTCCGGGATAGCTAGGGCTACACAGAGAAACCCTGTCTCAAAAAAACCAAGAGGAGGAAGAGGAAGAGAAGGAAAAGGAAGAGGAGGAGGAGGAGGAGGAGGAGGAAGAGAAAGAAGATGAAGTTGTTGTTATGTGGAAATCAAGGAAACTTATGTTCTAGGACACTACAGATTAACTCTGTCTTGAAAAACCAAAAGGAAGAGGGAGAGGAGGGAGGGAGGGAGAAGGAGGGAAGAGGAGGAGAAGGGGGGGAGAAAGGAGGGAAGAGGAGGAGAACGAGGGAAGAAGAGGGAGGGAGGGAGGGAGGAGGAGGAGGAGGAGGAGAAAAAGCAGAAGCAGAAAAAGCAGCAGCAGCAGATGTTATGTGGGAACCAAGGACACTTTTCTTCTAGGACACTAGATTACAGTAAACCCAAGCGGCTGAGCAGATGCTCAACAGAGCACCAGGTGTCTTTAAAACTGGGCTTACAGTCCTTAAGAAGCAGCACCTTTCTCGTTACACCCGCACTTCCTGCAGAGTTCACCAAAGGACGCTGGTGCACAGTTCAGAAGCAGAGGCACAAATCCGTGAGCGTGGCTCCTCACCTGGCATTTCACTGGGAATGGCATAAAACAAGTTTGGGTTTATGACTTCTAGCACATTCGCTTGTACAGTCTTGTTAACTGGCAGTTCTATTGTCTTCCACTGGTCTGCTGAAGGGATGGCTGAAAACACATGAAGCACAGGTCTTGCTATTTAAATACATACAGTTTACTCTTTTCCCCAGTAATATACTCGAGTATTCAATACATTTGCTCATCAATAACTGACTGTCAACACCTTGGAGTGCCCAAGATAAGGTATCTGGTTCACAACTCAATTTACTGAAATCAGAGAGCAGTGCATGTTAGAGTTATCAGTACCCAGGATCTTGGTGCTAATACACTCCTAAAGTACAATCAACGAAGCCAAGGGTGGTGACACAAGCTTAAATTCCAGCACTCAGGGAGGCAGAGGCAGGCAGCTCTCTGTGAGTTAGAGACCAGCCTGTTCCACAAAGTGAGTCCAGGACAACCAAGGCTAAACAGAGAAACCCTGTCTCAAAAGACCAAAAAACGAGGGGGAAGGGGTGGAGAAAAAGAGAAAGAGAATGCACCTCCTCAAACCATGAACATTTTTGTCAGCTTCAGTGATTAAAAAAATAATAAAGAAAGAACATGGACGAATTAAAAGATCTCACATGTTCATGAATTAGCAGAATGGGTACTGATTTGTACTGGTACAAAACAGATCGTCAGACCAATAGAGTAGATGATCTCAAACGGAACTCTATACCGTACAGCCAAGCAATCTTGACAAAGGAGTTGAAACACAGAGTGGAGAAAAGGCAGCAGAGAAAGGGGGAGAGCCACATGCAGGAACGCAAGCTGATCCCTCTCACCCTGCATTAGATCAGCTCAAGAGGGAGCAGAGGTCCACAGACCCGGAAGTGCGGAACAGGGAGGAAACAGGACCCACCTTCCCATATACAAGTCTCTGTGAGCTCAGCGGCCTAGGAACAAACCCAAGCGGACAGACTAACGCCCCTGCACAGACGCAGCAGCTCTCTGCCGAGGGAAACTGCAGCCTACAATGGGAAAAACCTTCATTCTCCACCTGACGGGGGTAAGATCTAGAATTCATAGAAAGTTCCAAAAACTAAATGCTAAAATCATCCAGTCAGCACACAGCCAATGCTGACAGTTCTCAAAGTACACATACCAACAACTGTTTTTACAATTTCTAGTTTATCATAAAAACCTGGAACCTGAAACACGCTCGCTCGCTCGCTCACACGCACACTGAAATTACGCAGACCCAAAGTGCATCTTGGAGTGCTCACGGTCTGCACGGCTCTTCTGAAGCTGCGGGGTTATGAAAGAGTTCTAGAAAAAGGTGGAAAGCTAACTTCTCCCTGGGCTAACTATCGTGGAGTTTTCATTTTTGATGGTAAAAATACATTCTACAGTAAAAGTATAAGATTCAACGTGAAACTTTTTAAATGATCAAGACCCTCAGTTGCTGGGGGGACAAATTCAAACTGTTTTACAGAGGTGTCTTCACCAGTCAGATCATTAGCAATAACAAGAGGCCTTGGAGAAGCACAAATGATTTAAATATAGTACTCATGTATGAAATTTTCAAAAAATAATAAAATTAAGAAAAAAAACAGATTTAAGATTATTTCAGAATCTTAAAGACAAAGAACGAGAAATGCTGGTGAGCATGTGGGGAACACCTACACAGCAGGAGAAGTGACGGAGCCGCTCTATGAAAGTCTGTGTGGAGGTGCTCCAAGGCTAGGCTAGGGTTCCCGTGCGCTCCTGCACCTCAGCAGTGAGCACAAGCTGCCTGCTCACTGCAGCTCTGTTCAGGAAAGCTAAGCCACTGGCCGGCCCAGGCTCAGTCCACATATGGACCCGGCCTACATGGTCACCAACAGCTGGGTGACACATAAGACTTGGTACATACACGATGGGATTTTATATAGCTACAGAGAAAAGTGAAATTATATCATATGCACGTGCATGTACACGTGTGTACACACGAAAGAAGGGCTTTGAGTGATGAGGAACAGGTCTAAAGAATGGAGGACAAAAAGGCTCTAGAGGAAAGAATGCCACCAGCACCCTTTACGCAGAATCTAGATCCACCCCAACCCACCCCAACCCACCCCAACCACACAAGAAAAAGCAGAAGAGAAGCAGGCATGATGGCACATGTTTCTAATCCTAGCGTGTGGGAGGCAGAGGCAGTCAGAGCTCTGTAAGTTTAAGGCCAGCCTGGTCTAAATAGCATGTTCTGGGACAGCCAGGGCTACATAGCAGAAGTCACAATTGCTGTAACTCTATTGTTCCAGAGCTTCTGACACCCTCCGACATACATGCAAGAAGAACACCAATGAACAGATAATAAAAACAAACTGTTATTTTAAGAAAAAAGAAAGCAACCACGCAAGCAGAAGAGGAATAGACTGTGGAAGGAGACCAGTGGAGGGAGTGAGGAGAGACAAGGGTGGGCAGGTAAGAGCAATCATCCGTATGAAAATCTCAGTGACCCTCGGTGTGCTGGATCTGAAATGCTGAGGAGCAAAGAAAACCCTGACATAAACTTAAAGTTTGGCTGTTTCACAGGCATCACCTTGCAGCCCCTGGTTGTCCATCTGGCTATGTTTGCCAGCAGCTCTGCCAATGGCTGTGTTCTTCTGTGGTGAAGAACATCTTAACACCAACTGTTCTGTGATGAGAACATCACTAATTATTCTGGGATAGGGAGTAGAAAGATCAGTGAGTTCAACTCCCACCCCCTTTTCAGTGATTTCCACAACTCTGGCTTGGAGTTTGAGCCCCGCAACACATGCTTGAAATCTTGCTGTGGCTTCTTTTGTCCAATGCTTGTTTTTGGGCTGTATATCTGGGAAGGAAGAACAAAAGCATTAAGGAAAATCCTATGTGTGCAGTGAGCTTATGCTGACGATAGGCAGAACTAGGTTCCTACATTCACCTCAGAAATTCTCAAAATGTACACAGATTTGGTCAAGAAAATTTTACATCTACGTCACAGATAATGTATCTGTTAACACACAGTGTAGATGGCTAGGGCTCAGGCCCGCACTCTCCCTGGAAGGATCTGCAGCTGCGGTGACCATCTCTGCCTGAGCTAATGTCACCAGCGAGAAGTTGCTAGCTGGTGGCAGAACCTTCCAGGGACTTGGGAGCCATTCGGTTTGCCGACTTTTGAGACAGGGCTGCACTGCCTTGACCAGGCTTCTCTCAGCCACCTGGGTCAGGGCAGTCTTCTCACTTCAGCTCCTGAGCACCCGAGCTTATGGGGGTCAGGGATGGTGCCACTGGCTTGTCATTTCCATCCCTTCTCTTCAGCCATGATTTCCAACCTTTAATGTGCACCAGAAATTTCTTACAGGTCTTGTTAAAATTTGGAGGCTCATTCCAGAATTTCTAAGTCTGGGGTGGGAACTATAAATCTAACTTGTTTTTGTTTTTCAAGACAGAAAGGTTTCTCTGTGTAGCTCTGACTGTCCTGGAACTCACTCTGTATACCAGGCTGGCCTCAAACTCATAGAGATCTACCTGCCTCTACCTTCCAGGTGCTGGGATTAAGGGTGTATGCCACCATTGCCTCGTTTATAACTGAACTCTTAAATTAGGTTCTCTTGTTCAATGCTCACAGTCTGAGGACCACATCTTAAGAAACACACTGGCATGAAACATGGGGGTTAAGAATAATCTGGGATCAATAAAATGGCTCCACAGGTAAAAGTACTTGTCATGTAAGCCTGAGCATTTGAATTTGATGCTTGGAGAGAACTGAATCCCCAAAGTTGTCCTCTTACATGTATATGCCTGTATGCACACATCATACATACACGCACACGCATGTGCACACACACCAATAAAGTCTTTAATGAGAACGGCACCCTGAAGCACACCCACGTCCCAGTATGGACAGTCAGGGTGACAACCAGTGTCTCTCACAGTCACTAAGATGGAAAAGAATACCTGTGCTCCCACCATGGCCCCTGTTCAGAGTTTGCCATCACCTTCCACCAAAATAGGGGTTTAAAGCTAAGGTCTTGTGTGGATCAAGTTGCCTTACAATTCCGTGTTCATGGCTCTCTGCCAGGCTGCTCCCATGATTTGTGAACTCAAATGGAAAACATGCCTATACACACATACACACTTTCTTCACCTGAATCACAGGCATTGGTGTTCCTGTCACACATGTCTAACACATCTTAGCAGCAGCAGGGTGACAGCACATGCCTGGGGACAACGTCAGCCCCAGACCCTGTGCCAGTGCTGGTCCTCGCAGCCGCCCTTATGGCACACTCACCATCCTGCCTCCGATCATGTGACCTCTCGTCCGCTACTGCTGGCTCTGTTCTGCAAGTGATGGGCTGTCAGTCACAGCCTTCCCTGCAGCTGGACCTTTGCCACTTCCAGGCTGCTTCAGAATACGTTACTACACGTAAATGCTGAAAGTGTGAATATCTGAGGTCCTCAGAGTCCTGCAGAACTCCTCAGGGCAGCCCTGTCAGTTTCTCTCCACAACTAGGGAAGAGAAGCTTCTCCAAACACTTGCCCAAAGTTTCTGCCAAAACAGTAACTTTCCACATGGTGCGGCAGAGGTGGGGCTTTCTAGTTCTCTGGAAAGGTTAACACAGGGGCACTAGGAACTCAAGGTTACAGGGCTGCTTCTCCGAGGAGCTGAGCTGCCCCTGCCGACACCTACCTGCTAGCCAGCACTGCATCCCTTGAAACGGAAGTAGTAAGAACTGTGGCGACAGCGCCTGGAGCTGGTCTGTGGTGACTTCCTCAACATTCCCGTAGTCCACGAAGTGCACTCTAACATTGCCACTTGGTAAGATCTCCCTGACTAGAGCCCGGTACCAGTTGCCGTCACCTGGAAGCAACAGAGTCTCTGACATCCCTTCCCCCACACTCCAAGTTCCCTCAGAACACGCACTTTCCTCAGTAAAGCTGGCTGCTCTTTTCTTCTATAGACTACAACTTTAGTTTTTCTTCAAAACTTCCTACACTGACAATTCCCAAGATCCATTTTTAGAATATACCACAAAACTTTTTGTAGCACTACACCCTGACATCTAATAAAAATTAAAGACCTGATCTACCCAATGAACAACATGGGAGGGGAATGGGGGCAACGTGCCCACTGCTCAGGCGCTTTGCTGCAGTTTGCTGGTAAAGGCCGTGCCACATGGCGAGGCCGTCTGCAGTTAACAACTCCAAGCTCAGAAAGCTGCCGGCTGTGGGCAGCTTCATCACTTGAAGGCACCTTATCAAGTCCTCCTACTTTGATTATGAAATGTGTGCATCACAGCAAAGAATAAACGTTAGGAACGAAAAGTCACTGATACCAAGTCTAACCTACCTGCAAAAAAGGCACAGCAAGGCCTCCCTATCTCTGCCTTAAAGCCATTTGGCAGCTTCTGTGCACAATATTCTGCTAAGGATTTATTCAAATCATCCAGCTTCTTTACAGCTGCAAACACAATACAAACAAAAGTATACTGTTAAAAATAAACATTTAAACAGATTTTCCTTTAATATCAGAGAACATTTTCATCATGAAAATCTCAAGTACATTACCAAGCAACTGGTAACTACAACAAATGCTGTTCCCTTTACAAAAATTTCTAAGTCAATACAACAATATTCAGTTATGTTCTCAATAACTGAAAACCAGTGGTTCTTGGGCACAGGGCACAAGCTCTGCAGCCCTGTCAGTAAGCCAGGGCTCTGAGCGCAGGTGGGAAACCATACCAAAATACCACTGTCCTGAAAAAGTAAACGTGGTTACTAAATGCAATGTACAGTTAATGCTCTGATGAAGTTCTAGAGGGAAATCTGTGGCACAAATCACTGAGAGAAAGGGAAGACTGCCTCGAATGAACACACAGAGAACTGTGGGCAGCCAGCGATCACCTAGTGGGAAGCAGAAGGCCATGCGGACAACCAAGAGGGTCAGCCACTGAGGACAACCAACCAAGACACAAGCAGCTTTGGCACCAAAAGGAGAGGGACTCAGGCAGCTGTATCAGCCAGCGACAAGCAAACATCTCTGACTCATGGCAAAGGCTGTCAAAAAAATAGACATTCTAATTTCAGACGAGCAAGGACACACTGCTGGAAATGGATGGAGCAAGCATTCAAGGGCACTGGGCGTCTCTTGGCTCTCTCCTTAAAGGACACAGACTCTCAAAAGTACGCTCACCCACTAACCTATCACTATAATTGTAATTTGTCCCAAGAACATGCTCTCAGGGCAGAGACACCAGCTGCACTTTCACAGGACCCAGGTTTAGCTCACAGAACGCACACTGGAGCTGCGACCATCTCTAACCCCAGTTCCCGGGATCTGACCCCTCTTAAAGCCCATGAAGGCACTGCGCACATGTGGTGCACAGCCACACAGCCAGGCAAACACCCACACACATGTGGTGCACAGCCACACAGCCAGGCAAACACCCACACACTTCTGAAAACAAACAAACAGTCTCAGAGTGAACCCACAAAGAACAGAAGAACTATAACCGCCATCAACACCTCTGTTAAGCAAGGATAAAAACCACACAGATGGAAACAATGTAGCAATAGCACCAGATAGAAGTGTTATCCTGGACTGTGTCCCAGAACAGAAACACATCACCAACTGGAGGCCTGACACAGTGCTGCTCTCCCAGGTTGGCCACACAAGCTTGTGAGGGGTGCACAGAGCTCTCCACACCATCTATGCAAATCCAAGCTCTATAACCTAAGAACACATCAACATATCAAGGAGGTACAAAGGAAACAAGAGAACTGGTTTCAAAGATATTTAGGAAAATAATTACAAAAGTTTTGCTCATGAGAGGAACACACATCAGGCTGCATCTGCTTCTAAAAAAGAGCTGCAGGCCCTGAGGACAGGGATAGGTGTCTTCTTTTCCACCACACACTCTGTTACTCTTGAATTCTGCACCATATGCTTTGCAGTCGCCTATGAAAATAAAGAAATCTGAAGCTCTGACTCATTAATCCTTAGGTTTGTTTATTTTATGTTATGTGTATAAGAGTTCTGCTTGCATGTATGTATACAATGTGAATGCCTGGTGCCAACAGAGCTCAGGAGAGGATATCAGATTCCAATTCCCTGGAACTGGAGTTTCAGAGGGTTCTCAGATGCTATGTGGGCCCTAAGAAATGAGCCTGTGTCCCCGGTAGCAGCAGTGAGTGTCTTAACTACCAAGCTATCTCTCGGGATCTCGAGTCTTGTTCTAGATGAAAGAGCAGCCCATCTTCCAGGGGATTCTAAATGAAGAAATCATGCGGCTCAGACTTTGAGTCAGACCAGGACTCAGGTATCTTCTCTAACATACTAATTTGGCCAAAAAAGACTAGATCTAGAAAAGTTATACTCAATGATGCTCACTCATCATAACAACTCAAATGAAACAAAAAATATGAAGTATGAGAGTGTGGGGCAAACAGAAATCTCAAAGTGACAGTTGTCGGAATTATGAGAAACTGACTAAAGATAAAAAGATGCCTTCTGATGACTCAGCAGAAACACACTGAGACTCAGAAGCACAGTGAGGAGGTGAATCCTTACACAATCATTTCAAAGGCAACCAAGTGCCTCAAGACAAAAGAGAATTATAAACTGCTGTGCACTTACACAATGTATTATTAATATCATTATGCAGCAGAAGCAGCAGCAGCAGCAGCAACAACAAAACAAGCTCCATTATTTGTAACAGCAATGTGAGGCAATGATAACCAAGGCAGAGATAAAAATACACATTGTATGGTTTTGTTCAAAAACCAGAAAAATCCATCTATGCAGTTCCTTCTGAAGGGGAAGAATGGGCAAGGACAGGACACTTCCGGGACACTGGGCAATATTCTCTTTCTCTGCTGAGGAGCTGGCTGCCGGCCATCCCACTGTGCTGAGGACAATCCAGTCCACTGCACTCTTGCTGCAGGGGTCTCTAAGAACGGACGGCCGGCAGACCAACAAAGATACCTGATTTCTAACAGGAGACAGGCTGCAAAATCTTAAATGATTAAAGACATACAGCTGGGGCCAAAAGAGGATAAATGCAAACTAAGTACAATCAAGTTTCCCTGATCAGTTGCTTAGAAAGACTGCTGTTGTCACACAATAATATTCTTCCCAAGTTACCTATTAATGCACTTAAGAAAACAATGAAACAATACAAAAGAGAAGAGCCAGCTTACCATCGTCTTTAAGAAAGTGACAATAAAACTCCCCAGGATTGTACATCACGCAGACCATAACATCTACCATTTCGTCAACAGCGAACTCAACCCATGCCCACTCCAGGGGCTCGGCTGCTCTTTCTATGGCCAAGGGAACTGTGAAAATAAATGAGTGTCTTTCAAGAGAAGGAGCATAGCTTGGGTGGGAAGGCTGTCACTGGTGGGGCTAATCTGGGAAAGTTCAATTTCCACTGACATCCTGATGGCTTTACAGGAATGTGAACCCTAAAATTTAGGATTGCAATTAACCTTATCACTTGAATGTCACACATTTCTGACTAATCAAACTCTCAACACAAATCTCTTGTTTATACACTTTGGGGAGTATTTGTGTGGCTGCTCAGTTAAGAAAGGTAAAAAAGGCACTCAGGTGCTAGTTGCCCTGAAATCCTGGCCCACACACTCTCAGGGCCATGGGGTCCAGCCTGCTGCCTGCTGGCAGGCTACTTACCGCTGTCTGTGTGCAGGCTGCCAGCTTTATCTGCCATTACCTCCTTTTCCTCCACAGCAAAGCCTGAGTCTACAAGCGCATTAGATGTGCTGACATGAGGAGTCACGGACTTGTCCACAAGCTCCACCAGCGCCCTGGTCCCTAGCATGTCCAGCACTCTCACGGTGACCATTTTGTTCTGTACGATCTTTTTCATGAAACAAATAGCTTCTGGAGTCCAAATTCCTAATGATGGCTTCACGCCTAACAAATAATTGTTGAAAGATGTTAAAATAATCCCTAAAACAAGCATTTGTATCTTTAACCTCATTTCTTCAAAGTTATATAAATCTGTGTCAAACACTGTCCCATCTGATAGGCAAGATTTTAAATACAAAAAAAAAAAAAAAAAAATAGCATGAAGAAAAATGCTTCTGTATCTCAACATAAAAAAAAAAAAAAAATCTTAATCTCACTGAAAATGTCCAGAAAGCCAAATCTTCAGAGAAGAAAAGGTTATAGCTCTTGGCTGGCGCAGGCACCCTGTGAAGCACACACGCCAGCCCCACAGGGTGGGGTGTCCTCAGACAGATCCTGGTTAGTGTGAACAACCACCTACGTTTGCTTAAAAAACAGAAAATAAAAATGTAAACGTACTGAATTGTATACCTAAAACAAGGGCTCCCACAGTGTCTAAACTACAGCTCAAAAAATCGATTAATCATAAAGGCATAAACAACGCAGAAGACATACTAATTAATGTGAGGTCTCCAGAGCATGTGTGACAGGAGAAAGTGCACACGTGAGCTCAACCCTTCCCAGAGAGAGTTTGTCCCACCAACACCAGACACCTCACCACCTGGGGGCGTATGCCCTGTGGAAGGACTTAGCAGTGTTGTCTTGCAACATGTCCAAGGCAGGTGAGCCTGGACATGACACAATGCAGCCAAAATAACGAAAAGAACATCACTGCCCAAACAGGAAATATCTGCTCTTACAACACAGTTGGTAACAATGGTAGACCCGCCCAATTCGCTGAGGACAATTTATCCACACAGGAAAAAGTCCTCAGACCTATGGACAAGTCACCTACACAGTAACTTCCACGCCTGTCATCTCAGGGCCCTCATTGTACCCACAAGCATGCCTCTCAGCCACAAGTACCTTTTCACATTTCCACATTCATTTTTAAGTTTTAACATTCGAAGAATGGGAGGAGCGCAATATTTCCTACCTGCCAGCACACAATTTAGCGCTTGCATTGGCAAGTCCAACAACTTTGGAATTATGGGACAAAGTCTTTTCAAACTAAGAATTTCAAAGTTTCCATAGTCAACATATCCAACCAGGACAGATTCTTCAGAAGCGTAGGCCAGAACTGAGGCGCGGTACCACTGATCATCCTCTGGAAGAAGAAGATGGTCATCTCAGATGCTCCCCAGCTGGGGAGGGCCGCTGGCACACTCCGCTACTGAGATACCAAGCGCTCTCCCGCATGCTCACTAACCACTCCCAAAGCCAGATGTTAGTGTAGGGCTATTGTGCAATTCAGATGGTGATTTCTCTACCCCCCTGTATCTGGTCTCAATCCTTGTTCTGAGAAGCTCCTATTTTAAAGTTGTACAAACTCTGGTCCCCAATGGTCTGGATATGTCAATAAAGCAGCTTACAGCCAATCGCTGAGCAGGGGAGGAGGAAAAAGAGGGAGTTGGGATTCAGCCAGTAAAGATGAGGAGGGAGGAGGTGAAGCAGGAAAACTACAAAGTGCAAGTATTCCTGGGGTGCACACTGGGGAGAAATCAAATTAGAACGGAGGGTTAACAAGAGAGTACTATCTGCTCAGTTATTGTGTTATGAAGTTTATAGAAGAGAGTCCCAATTAATTTGTATGATAGCTTGGTTAAGAGAGAAACAGAGAAACACAATTTTATAAAAATAACAGTAGCAGAGGGACCACTATGCCAGATAACAAATCACGTTGCTTTTTTTTTTTTCTCTTCGTGCCAAATACCTGATAAAACAACCCAACGGAGGAAAGACAATTTTGCTCACGGTGTCAGCCCATCATGGTTGGAGCGTGGTGGGGCAGAGAAGTCACACCCGGTGTGAAATCCAGTCAAGCTGACAGTGAAGCTATACATCATGCTATGGCATATAATATCGTTATGGATTTATAGGATCTGTTTCTCCAACAGATAGCTGGTAGGTAACTTAGCGGTGGAGAGAACATTCCAACCACATGAATCCCTAAGATACATCCATTATTTGCTAAGGCACCAAGTAAGGCTACTTCTAGAATAGCTGCAGCAGGGGGAATTAAATGGATTCCAGACAAGGAATGAATGTGCCCGTGGCTCCCCTGCTTCTTACTATTGAGAGGGCTAGCAGGGCTGTCCTTAAGAAAAGAGCAACAGAATAGACTTCTACAAAGTAAAAGTGGCTACAAAGCTTGTGGCAGACCTAGGCCTCAAAGGCCTTCTTGCTAATTCAAACAAAGCTCACAGAGAAAAGAGTGGAAGGCTCTGCATCCCATATTCATTTAGGCCGAGCTATTTGTGCTCCTCTCCAAACAGAAAGAAATTGATATGGACAGCTAAAAACATCACCTTACCATGTCAGGCTCTTAATGCAAGCTCTCTGCCATACTCAACTGCTTCTATCTAGTTTGAGTGGACATGTTTAGGACATAATTGATACATGTTACTACTCAAGCCCAAATGTGGCCATTTGGACTGAATCAAGGATTTTGTCTTTTACTTAGTGGTATGTACAGCAGCTCCTCACCTGAGAACTGCGCACAGCACACATCCCCAATGGCTGGATAGAAATCCGAGCGTGGAGTCACTTGGCCACAGTACTCACTGAGGGATTCCTGGAGTTCGGCAAGCTTGTCTGTGGACAGAAATCACATTTAGACACAGGAGTGTGGTTCCCTATCTGCAGGGCGAGTGCTGAGGCTCCCGGAACTCATTATGGTGAACACTGACTCACGGCCACTCTGCAGCTGCTGGCAGAAGAAGTCCTCTGGCGTCTGAATGTGGGCAACCACACCACAGAACTCGGCACCCACACTCAGGGTCAAGACCTTGGGGATCAGGACGTTTCTGTCTGTGGCCACCTTGTTCTCAGCTGTCGCTCTTCCAATGTCCGCAGCACCTTGTCAGAAAACAGTCATCTTGCCATCACCGAGGGAAACAAAACACTCCCAGGGTAGCAAGGGAACCAGAAATACTCGAATTGTTTTCCAAGGGGCAGAGACTGAGAGGGCAACAGGCCTGGGCAAGGGAGCAGTCAGGTGCTGGACCTTCAGGAAGGGGATTTCCCATCACCAAAAGCTGGAGGAGTCCAAAGAAGGAACACCATGGCAAAAACAATCAGATTTAACTTGAGTGTTCTCTAAGAAAACATTCAGTCTCTAAGGAGCTCAGGAAAACAGTTTAGAGATGATTATATCACAGGGTCTGGAAAAGACACAGAGCAGAACCCACTTTACAGTGTCATAGACCCCACGGGAAACCATTTGCTACGGTAATACACTCAACTTAATTGAAATTACACTGAAAATGCATTCGTCAGCTCAAATGAGGTGCAGGTAGCATAAGGCCCACGTGGCAGGCTCAGACCTGATGTCAGCATCTGGAGGAGCAGAGGCTTTGGACACCACAAAAACTAACTCAGAATGCAAGATGACAAACTCCAAGGAGTGAAAGCGAAATGAATGGCCTACAAAACTGCCATGTCTTCAAGGGTGGGCAGTTAGGGCCAAGACAAGCCATCATGACAGCAACATACCAAAATTCTGCAAGACAAACCATTTCCTGAAAGGAACCAGGAAGAGGACACTGATCAGGTAAAAACCAAGTCAGTTTCACTGCTTCAGTTAAGACAGGTTAAGCAGCAGATAACAGTTTACAGAGTTAATCTTACACAGACTGTGTGGTCTCACCGTGAGACCAAGAGCACACTGCTATGATCTCTAAAAGCCTACGGGGTGCACCTGGCAGGAAAGCAACCAGGAAGGAGCTGATTAAGGAATCCAAGCTCTTACAAGTCCCTTGCCAGCAGGTGAGGCCGCCAAGACACTAAACAAAAGGGCAGAAGGCCGGGGAACGCTGCAGCAGGCCCTGATACCAGGGCTGCTGCAATGGGCTATGAGGAACAGTGTCTCAGCTAGGGCTTCACTGCTGAGAGGAGATACCAGAGACACCGTGACCGGAGCAGCTCTTACAAAGGATTTAACTGGGGTCTGGCTTACAGTTTCAGAGGGTTAGGGCATTGTCATCATGGGCAGGGGCATAGTGGCACTCAAGATGCTGAGGAAGCAATAGAGCTCCATCCTCACTTATAGGCAGAGAGGGCCTGGCAGGGGCTTTGAACACCTCAAAGCCCACCTCCAGTCACACATTCTTATTCTAGTCCTTTCAAATAGTGCCCCTTCCTCGGTAACTAAGCATTCAGATACGTGAGCCTCTGGGGCCTGTTCTCCTTCAAAACACCATGAGTGTCTCAGCTAGGTCTAGGGACAGCACAGTCAGGTTCCAGTGTGATAGGCTCGCAGCCAGACTCTGGGACAGTTGGCCACCCCCATCTCTTTCTCTTGTCTACAACAGGGGCATCGCTCCACATCTCTGCCACTGACACGGTCACGCACTGGCTTTGGAGTCAGAAGACTCCCGAGACACCTGTCATCTATTCCTGCTCTATCTTAGCACCATCCTCCCTCTCCTGCACCTTCTCTTGATGGTCAAGTCCAGTCAGGCCTCATTTTCAGTTTGTCAGACCCACCTGTGACCATTTCAATTGATGCCTTTTACAAACGTGGTCTTTGTTTCCTGGACCAGAAATAAAGAGTCTGTATTTTCTGTTTGGTGTGCTACCACTTCAAAACTCACCCCAAGTCTCAGCGGGCACCTTTCCAAGGGATTCTTCTCTCCCCAACTCTTGCCTAATCTCCCTGTGAGGAGCACAGAATTTCCCTCCATAGTACCTTTATACCTCCATGGAACCTCAGCAGACTAAACAGAGCTCTATGGGCCCTGCTATGCCTTGCTGCAGATACCCAGAATGCACCTGTGTTGCTGATGAATGACTCCTTACCCAGAAGCACTTGCCCTTCTGCTGCTCTGGTACCCTTGCTCTCTCATCAGGCACTTTCATGCTGTACAATGGGCCATGCTTTACCTCATCACTTTTCTCATTCTGCTCCATCAACATTTATGGTCCTAAGCATGAACAGTGCTAGACAGTTCACTCTCAATTTCTGTTCTCTAGATGGCAAATAAACACAAGTTTTTTACCAAGATTTCTGTTTTAGGGATATCATGAGGGCAAGTGCCCTAGGACACAGGCTGGAGATAAAAGATAATGTAGAAGGTTGTTTTCATTGTCATAGAGGGAAGAAAATACGGATGGATGTAGGGAGGGAGTAAAAAGATACAGCCATGGGCGTTTGGGAGGAAAAACTAATAACGACTTGGCAGCCAAGCAGACAAGCACAGGACAGGAAGCAGAGGAAGTGGCCGACCTCAGGCGGTCCAGTCTGTCTTTGGGATGCTTATTCAACAATCTGCTGCACCGGGGGCAAGATGGTGAGTTATGTCTACATCCAAAGCACGAGGCAAGGTGAAAGAGAAGCAGAGTGTAGAGGCAATGCACACGAACAAGTCACCAAAACCACTCCTAGTGGATCTCCTTCTCTCTTTGAGCTTGGTGTGGCCACGCACACATGCATGCACACACAGTGAACAAGTAAAACCCTAAATCTCAAGATTAAGAAGCGCACCCTACTGGAGCAATTTCAGAGATCGCCTCATTATTGGTAAACACCCAAACTAAGGCAATACGAGCTAAACGGCACTCCACCTAAAGTGCTGTTTAAATCTCTAGTGATGATCATATTAGGATTAATCTGCAAAACAGAAGAGACAGGAGGGAAGTCTGAGATCAGATAAGGTGTTTTGGAAACCACCCTTAATGTGAAGCGATGGAGTGGTCCTGACACGCTCCACCACGCCATGTGGGGATGAGGAGGGCACTGCTGTGTGCCGCAAGGCCTGTATACTCACTTTGCTCCACACCTTGCTTCTTGGCGTTCTGCTCATCGGGTTTCACACCATATCCCATCTCCATAAGCACATGCTCCAGCTGTTCTCCTAAAAGGTGATTCAGAAGATATACCTTTTTTACTGAGACACTACAGAAAGCACCACAGGCAGAGAATAAGAAAGACCCAAGGCAACCATGTGGCTCAGCCATTCTAACTCCTCACTGGAGTCACGTCAACTATTTCGGACAAAATAACAGAAAAGCATAGATTTTAAAAACTGAAACAAAATTCTCAGTCACTTGACCAAAAATTCTATGAAAAGCTTCACCTTCAAAATTCCAAATAATAGGAAAGTCAGTTATTGGCTCTGAAACACATTTAAATGAACCACTGTTCATGTGAAGAAATCCATTAAAGTTACAAGATGGCATGCCTGAAGCAGATCAGCCATCACTGACTTGAACTTGCATCCCAAAGCTGAAGTTACAGCATGAAATGCACATGTCAACAAACAAAAACTGATTTTATACTGAATTTCAACAGGCAATCTCCTGTTCTACGAAGTCACAGATGACATCCCATCTCTGAGCATACAGAAGAATGGTGCCTTGGAGACGGAGGCAGTGAGCAGTAAAGTATGAGGAGTCACTTTTCTTACAGATACTAAATCACAAGGAAGAGCACGACCCCAGACTGTGTCCTCTCCTCAGCTTGAACATTGCGTGCTAACCCCATGTGTTATCTGCGAGGGGAAAGCCAGGAAAACGCACCGAGGGTCATCAGCCTGAGAGCCGCTCCTTAGCTCCTTCCTGTGAAGTCATTAGCAGATAATGACCACACTAAAAGGACGACAATGCAGTTACCCCACGTCATCCCTTCTAAACTATCTACTTCCGCAGTTTTGACAACCTGCTACCTCAAGGCGCCATTTTCATCGCAATGGGTGCGCCTCTAGAGAGATTACTTGGTCTCACCTCCACGGCTCTGATGCTCATCCGAGAAGCAGCCGGGAACTGAAAAGCATGAAAAGGAAAGAGTCAGGCCTACCTGAGCTTTCTAGTGCAAGGCTGACAGCACAGGTGAGCACTTCTTCCTCTACGATGTCCACGACCCTGAGGGAGCAGAACTGCTCCAGCACCAGTGCCTTGACAGCTGTCACGCAGTCTTCACTCCACTCTGCCCCAGCTGGGATGACACCTGCCACAAAGCACTTTATGGCCTGAAAGATTTTGTACAAGTCACAAGAATTGTTATTTTTAAATGAAAATTTCTAATTAACCATTTAAAGAGAGATTTAAAAAGAATGTATCTCAGGCTGAAAAGTGATCATAAAAGCCTTCCACACTAGGCAGGTACGCCACTGAAGTATGGCTACATTTGCCTCTTCCATGGGAATGCTGTTGGTAACTGAAGCTTTAGTAATAGATACAAGGCTCAGGATTTTACCTTTATTATACATCAATTCTGACTTCTTTCTGGTAATATACAAATACAGAAAATGATTGATTTTACAGTGCCAATAAGATGCACCTGAAAAAGCTACTTACTCGCAAAAGATGCTTGTGAGTAATTAGAGGGACAACAGACTGGACAGTGGGCACAGACAGTGGCATAGTGGGCACAGTGGCACCGCAGCAAACACTGCATCTGCGCAGCATGAGCGGCTGCTCCCTGGGGACGCTGACAGGAGCTCAGAAAGAAGAGACTCACGGAAGGAGGAAACAAGTCAATGCTTCTCTTTAGCTGGTGAATTCTGTCTATTGGAATTATTTCTTCATTTCCATAATCAATGTACAAGACGTGTGCCTTCTTCTGTAACACATCAACGCCTTGTATTACCGCTCTGTTCCAGGTCTGCAAGGCAAATATTTGGCATTCTGCTTTAAACACCATTTCACAATCCTAGTCTAAGAAGCCATCAAGCAGCCTAGACGGCAGGCACTCAAAAAGTCATCACCGTGTTGATAACAACCCCAATAGTCCAATCAGGACAACCTAAGATGCGCTAGCACTCTGAGGTTACTCTCGCCGGGTGACAGAATCTCACAGTGCAACTCCACAGGCCAGCAAGCAGTGTGGACACATCCACTTCGGAGTGAGGAAGCATGGCCTAGTGGGCAGTGCAGGGTGGAGCACAGCTAAGGTGACCAAGTCTGCCCCAAGCCACCCCATGCAGCTTTAACAGCTCCGGTCTTCATGGGAGAATAAGGTAAGTGGAAGCGTCCTGTTAGCACGTCACTGGCCAGTGTTACCTGGTCAACCGAGTACTTGGCAACACACACTTCCCCCTTCACAGGGAGGTAACCATCTTCAGGCACCATGTTTGCATATGTCTCTTTCAAGCTTGCAGAGAGTTGGTTCATGTACTCTAAAATCTCCGAAGAATACAGCTGGACATAAAAGTGACTCGGATGCTTGAATTCAGTAACTGAACCCTTTCAAAGACAGAAAAACAGACACCGACAAATGTAAGCTCCTTAAAGCTCACACCTAAGAGAAAAGTAGTGCATACTTTCACAGTCTTTATGGATTTGGTTGGGTCTCCTCTGAGAGTCATTACATTGTGGACTCAATGCAAGCACAGCAAGCAAGGAATACAGCCAAGCAGTTCTTTCAATCTCTCTCCATGTAAAGCAAAACAGATACCTTTATTTCCATGGTTTTCTTAAGCTGAAGACTTCTCAAATCAGAAAACATTACTCTCTCAGAACCAGCAGTCATTTCTTTATTAATTCCAAGGGGACCATCGCTCTGCTTGGGAAAAGCACACAAAGCATTTACACAGAAGCATGGCTTTCACTGGCACGGTGGCCACGCCTCACGCTTCAGCATCAGCATCAGCATGAAGACAGCACAGGAGCTGGGAAAGTGTCTAAGAGCTCTCAAGAGCCACCTTCTGCAGGCAGTGGACACGACACCAGGGTCCAAAGAAGAGAGATGGGTGACAGCGAAGACAGCACAATTATCTTTGGTAACTATACAGATTAATTCATTTAACATTTAAGACTCTTGACTCTCCTGCTGCAGTGCAGGCTAGCCTGAAACTATGTAGCCTTAGGTAGCCTAGAACTCAAAGCTATCCTCCTGCCTCAGTCTCTCAACTGTTGGGTTTGCAGGCAGAAGCCACCCTACCTGGCAGCATTTAAAAGTTTAACTATTTACCTGTTGGTGTTTTGCAAGAATAAATACTGTGAAAAAGTATTTTCAGTAGAAAGTAGTAGCAGCTACACAAAGATAAGACTTCTCTAATGAATATGAGTTGGACATAGTGGTGTTGTGAACGCTTTGGCCCTACAGTTACCTAAGCGGAAGAGAGCGAACACAAAGCAATGCCCTTGAGAGAGAGAGGTCCCAGAACGGAAGACCCACAGACTCAGAGACTGCTAGAGGGGCAACAGAGGCTCTACAGCAGTCAGTCCACATTACTTTACACAGAAGCACGACTGTCTCAACGACGTTTTGGGGAAGACTGGAAAAAAACAACCCCAAAGCCCCCGCAGCCACATGACACTTTCCCACCCATCGTCACGGAGCACGGGATTAACAGGGTTTTGTGTTTTGCTTATGCATGCAGGCATGATGTATTAGTTAAAAATGTCTTAGTTTGTTCGTCTTCTTCAAAAAGGAGAGCTATTTATAATTTAATGTCAAGAAATATCCTACCTCATTTTTCACTTCAATGTTCTTTGTTTCAAATGGTGATTTATTATCTTCAAGTTTGTGCAAGCTGTAATAAAACAAGATATTTTAATATATACAATCCAGAAAACCTTGAGAGGGGTCACAAACCTCAATTTTGTTAAATTCTCAATCAACAAAACTTAGAAGGGCAAAAACTTGCAGAGTTACACCACTAGCAGAGAAGAGTAGTGCTGAGCCACCCAGGGATGCCTCCACCACGCAATGTGCAGGCTGCTTCTTCACATGCCCCAACAAGGCCTAGAAGAGCCACCTCAGCAGCTTTGTGTAAAATACAGACAAACCTTGCATCCTATAGAGAACTGTTGTATTAACTAGAAAATACCACCAATAAAGACATGTTTATTTTAGAGCCATACTCGTGAGGCACTATGATGGCTCTAGCATTAACACCCAGGAATGTATATGGGATAACAAGCAGGGCACTGAAAATTCCAGCCATTAAAAGTTCATGAGAGGGGCTGGAGAGCTGGCTCAGTGGTTAAGAGCACGTGTTCTTGCAAAGGACCTGGGTTCAGTCCCAGCACCCACACGGAGGCTCACCACTTCCCCAGGCACCAGACACACATGTGCACAAAGACATACAGCACATACATACCACAAATAATGACATAATAAATCTAAAATAAAAACGTCTTGAGATCTGAAATAAACCCTGCTATACACTGCTGGTGCTGCAGACTCACGAGCAGGCCTGGCAGGTGGTGCGACCCCACACATTCAGCTCCAGCCTGCTGCATTCATTAAATCCTCATTTATCAGAACAACGTGTTTTCACTCTCCCCAAAGATGAAGCCGGCGGTGCTCACCTCTGCTGAACAGGTCTGCAGATGGTGCTGTGGGAGGACCAGTCTCTCCTCTGGCATGCTGTGGAGCAGTAGTATGTCTGCTTGCACTGGGAACACCTCAGTGACCCTGTAGAGCACAGTCTGTCTAAGGCCTTGCAGAAGGGGGCTAAAGAGATACCTTAGTGGCTATGAGTACTGATGCTCTTCTAGAGGACCCAGGTTCAAGTCCCATCACCTACATGGTGGCTTACAACCTTCTATAACTCCAGTTCCAGGGTGGATAAACTGCCCTCTTCTTATTTTTTCAGGTATTAAAAGTACATGGAGAACAGACATATGTGGGCAACACACCCACACACATAAAATACAAACAATTTAAAAAATACACACACACACACACACACACACACACACACACACATATATATATATATACACACACACACACACACATGTACAGAACCCTGGAGAAAGGAGGCTGGCCAGACATCGCTGTGTAGAATGCAGGGCTGCCTGATCAGAGTCAGGCCCTGGGGGGAGTTTCAAACTCTCTCAAATGCAGAAAGAACAACAGCGAGTTTCTGAAATGAGTTCAAGCTCAAGCTGGAGATGCAGACTACCCTAGTGCAGAGCCTGAAACACACACTGCTAATGGGAAATGGAGGCACAGCGGTTGCTGGGGTGGAGGCACATGACAGGCACGGGGACCAGTATACACTTGAAAGATGCTCTACCATACCACAAGGACATTTGCTCAACCATGTTCGTAGCAGCTCTATTTGTAATAGTCAGAATCTGGAAACAACCTAGTTGTCCCTCAACTGAAGAATGGATAAAGAAATTGTAGAATATTTACACAATGGAATATTACTCGGCCATTAAAAACAAGGAAATCATGAAATTTGCAGGAAAATGGATGGAAAAGATCATCCTGAGTGAGGTAACCCAGAACTAGAAAGACACACAAGGTTTATACTCACTTATAAGTGGATTTTAGTCATATAGTACAGGATAGACATACTACAATGCACAGACCCCAAGAAGGTAAGTCCTATGGGCATCTTAGGCTTCATGTGGGCTCACTAGTTAGGGGAACGGGAGATATCTCCAACATGGACTCTGTTGCCTGCTTTTTGATCACTTCCCCCTGATAGGACTTCCATACAAGGCCACAGGGGAGGAAGACAAACTCAGTCCTCATGTGAATAGATGAGCTGGGGTGCCTGGGTAGGGGGCTCCCCTATTCCCGGGGAAAGGGGATGTGGAAGGGAGGGTGGGACTGGGGGAGGGGGACCTATAACTGAGATGTAATTTGAATTAATAAAAAAGGAGGGGGAAGTTTTTTAAAAGAACAAAGAAGAGTCAATCTGGGAAACTAGGACTCTTCTGAAATAAAATCCTACCAGTCTACAGATGGAAGAAAATGAATCTAAAATAAGAAACAAGCAAGCAAATAGACCACGAATGTGTAACAAGAAGCTAAATATCCAAGTACCTAGTAACTTATGGAAAAGTTGGTAGAGATGGTGGGTCCTTCGGAGACTACAAACCAGAACAAGGAACCATCATCATTCACCTTGATAAGGCTTTCATACAGACCAGCACTGTAAGCGCTGTCAAAGAAACAGGAAACGCAGGATAGCTACCTGAGAATAACTTTGTGGTTTTCTCTAAGCTCTGACTCGGATGAGTGGACGGACACTCAAAGGGGCTGCACAGGCTGGGCAAAGGTGCTGAGAGCTCTGTTTGCCAGAGCCAAAAGCTAGACATGACCACAAAATCTCTTACCAGGAGCAGACAGGCAAACTGCTGAAACAACACATTCTACATGGCAAAGCCATACAGCTGTCTGTTCATTTTTGAAAATACATTGTAGAACACTGTGATATAGACATGACCACTACTTCTCACCAAGCACAAATAATTACTACATGCATTGACAGATTAATCCGATAACCATTCTAAATGAAATAAAATGTAAGGAGATGGGCCTCTGGCTGTATAATTCCATTTGTGACAGTGAACACCACAACTGTCTCAGGGCTGAATGATGGGAGGGGACACAAAAGCAGCGTTCGTGGCTACTGGAATATTTTCCGCCTTTATACGATGTGTCTGTGCATTTCAGGACATGAAATCTTTGTTTAAAAATCGTAAGAGTAATCGATCCCTGAATGAGAGAGCAGGAAGGACAGAGGTATAAGGAGCAGCAGCAGCCACTGGGGGTGAGGAACGACATTCCACACACCGTATACAGTCTCCATATTTAATGCTCCCATGACAGAGCATTCCTCAAGTGTTCAGATCATCTTGGGGACCTCAAAAGCAAACTTGCTTACCAAACAGGCCACAGCGGTGGCAGGTTGTTGACCGGAGGGGTGGTCCTAAAGAGTTGAAGAGTGCTGGATTATTTACGGACAGGGCATTCTCAAACAACTTGTGAGATTTTTTTGATTTTTCAGGAGACACGTTATTGCTGGGCTTCTATGGAGAACAAAAATAGTGACATTAGAATGTCTCTTCAACACTCCACTGGGACTGCCTCACTGTACGGCAGCACAGGTATGGCTTCCTTGCTCTTCTCTTACATACAACTGAAATCTTGAACTTAGCATACAAAGCAAGCGTAAGGCCAACTCCGAAAGGGAGCAGAGAAGGCACTAACTATGCTCCAACTGGTAAAATGATGACCCTTAATTTGTGTGTGCGTGTACGTATGTACACACGTATGTATGTAAATATATGTGTATATATATTTATAAAATGCAAAATTTACAATAACCACTAGGAAAATTATTCAGAGATACATACTAATCAAAATGAAGTAATGAAGTGTTCAATTAACCCACAAGAATGTGAGGGTGAGGGACATGAATGGCAGAGATAAGCTTTTCAGTGTGAACAGATTAGCACCATGTCATTGGAATATATCTCTTATGAGAAACTTTGGTGGATAGATGGTCTGTCTCACCAATGTTGGTTAGCAGAGACCAGGGGACAGCGTATTGCTTTCAGCTAAAAGCTTACAGAGGAGACAGCTAGAGAGCTACAGCCCACGGAGGATGTCACATGACCAGCCAATCAAGCAACAAGACCTCATAGCCCTTGGTGTGTATGCAACCCCACAGCGGAGCACCACGCTATGAAGCACACCGAGGAGAGAAAGGCTGTCAGTGAGTACAGACTTATGTTCTCTCTCAACAACTCACGTGCCTAGACAGAAAACCAGCCAGAGCCACAACTCAGGCTCTGCCAGGGATGCAAAATAGCCATCATTGCTGATGCGGGCAGAGCACACGCTGTCTTCAAGAGTTAACAGAACAGTAACAGCAGGCCGTAACCTGGGCTAAAGAACTGAGGCCTGGTGCACAGCTCAAAGGCACGCGTCCTCTGGGCTTAGCACCCACATGAGCTGGGCCACTCCCCAGCGCAAGAAAGGGAACAGGAAGATAAGAAAGGGTGGTTGAAACTGAAATCACAATGAAGTCTTCTCTGACCACAGTAAACTCCAGCAGGGAATGAACACTCAGAGCGTGGTGAGTTCATCACACCAACACTTGGAAACTCAGAAACACTCTTGTAAATAATGCGTGGGTCTCTGAGGATGAGTTAAGGCATACTGGACAGCAAGAAAATTACAAGTTCTGAAACTGTCTGAACACTGTTAAAGCTCCAATGAGAGAAAAACCAAGAGAACCACATGAACACGTGTTGCTGTAAGCTAAACCGTAATGTCTCTAAGTAAAATAAAGAGAGTACAACTGGACTACGCTTCCTACCAACTTCACATGATTAATCAAGAAAGACCGAACCCAGTACACAAAAACTGATTACATGAGCAACACAGACTATCTCTTAAAATTTATAAACAAACACAACATGAAATAATTTGAACAGAGTTACAAATATTAAGAAAATTCTCTACAGTTTAAGACCCTCCCAAAGAAATGTCAAAGTTCAGGCTGTTTTCACTAGAGAATTTTACGAACTATTTCAGTAACAACAATAATGTGCTCTCTTTTTTGAGAAAACGGAAGAGAATGCACTTTAATTTCCTTTATCAAGGTCAATATTTTATTTTTATCAACCACACAAGCAGTAAAAAGTTACTTTTCATGATCACATGGTGTTTATTTCAGAGACTGCTTATTTAAACATTCAATAAATCCACAAAGTAGACTAACATCTCCATCACCACATGAACCAGTGGAGTAAATGCATTTGACTCCTACAATAAATGACTTCAACAGTCACAAGATGCAAGCTAAGTTTAGAAAGCTCTATTATTTCTGCTTCTTAGCAATCAATCTATGGACACATAAACATAAGAAGTCACTAAAAACATTCTTAAGCTGAAAACTGCAAAGTGAAAGAAATCACTTTCTTTCTACATGCATGTAGACACACATGTGTGGATCAGAAGATTAACAAAGAAAAGGTGTCTACCCCGCCAATGGATGGCAGATCCAATGCCATCCACGCCAAAGCTGGGGCCGTGCTAACCTAGAGGTGCGGACGAGACTATTCTCAGCATCTGTGCGAAGGCCAGGGAACAAGAACGGCTAGACAAACAATTGCGAAAAGCAAAATGAAGCTGTTTGGATTAGCACAGCTTCAGGACTTCCCTGGCCATGAGCCCATAGTGCTGGTGAAGAACAGGTAAGCACGTGGATTCAACAAGGAACTGACAGCTTTGCAAGTATCCTCAACTGACTTGACTAATTCCCAGACAACTGAGAAAAGCTAACCTTTCCACAGACAGCACCCAGGACAGCAGAGTGCCTGCAAACAAGACAGAGGCTTAACCCAAGCTCCCAAGATAAAGGAACTCAAACGGGATCCAAACATAAAACTGACCATTTCTCAAAAGGAACATGTCTGAGTGATCTGGAGCAGCAGAGTTTGCAGTCTAATATCCAAGGTCCAATGTGCATGGTCAGCTGGACTGCTTCTAAATGAAGCCTTTTGTTCAGTTAAAAATCCAGATGAAGCCCCGACTTTAATCCCTGTGCTCAGGAGGCACAGGCAGGTGAGTCTCTGAATTTGAGGACAGCCTGGTGTACGGTGCGAGTTACAGGACAGCCAGGGCCACAGAGAAACCAAAAACAAAGCAAAACACTAAATGACCCAACTAGAAAATGACAAAGGACAAACATTTCTCCAATGGATATTGTGTATCACTGACTTTTTATTAAATCACAAAATATTAATCTATAACAATCAATCAAACCCAATCTCCAAGGAATTACTCAGAGAGAGCCAGAATTCCACTTAGAAAGTGTTCTCAAAGTGACAAACTGTAGAAAGTTAACTCTGGATATCTTAGCAGCTGCCAGGGCTCAAGGAAGGTCAGAACCTATGGAATTGGCCACAGAAAGAAATGTAAGGGGCCCTGTGATGACAGCAATGTTCTCTATTGGTGCCAGCTATAATCCCAGAGGACACTGGACAAAGCTTATACAGGACCTCACTCTAATCCTGACCACTGACTGCATGGGAACCTACAGTTGCCTAAGAAAGGACTTCTTCCTAAAAAAGGTTCTAGGTTAAAGAAAGCAAACGTGTTTACTGACCCTAACAAAATGAATGTCTCTTTAGAGCACTGCACAGAAAATGCCAGAATGGAAAAAAGAAACTTACAGTTTTTACTTGGTTGGGTGGTGAATTACTTCCAAGACTTAATGGTGACATTGGGTTTCCTGGGAGAGGGAAAACACAATTCCTATTAAATGCCAGGGACTACTTTTCACTTCTGATAATGCACAATAGTGTAACTCAGTGATGCCCAAACAGTAGTCCTATCCCAACAACCCCCAGCCACACTACACACAAGCAAATGGCAGGGTCCCTTCTGTGGGGAAAATAAGAACTTGCTGGGATCACAGGCATGCATATCATTTCTTGAACTAAACATTTCCACTGTAAACCCTCTACGTAGAAAGTAGACACTCTCCCATGCTTTGCGCTCTCCTTCACAGTCCTGCTGTTTTAAGTGAATAAGCCAACAAGTCAGCTGGATTCCTTACACCCCTCTATCTCCGTCACCACGATGTGCTGCTTTTGAGTGTCACAAGAGAATCCAGCCACACAGACGGGAAAAGGCGCATCAAGTGGTCTTCTCAGGTGATGCTAACCTTTTCACCTAACAGCACACCAAATCTTAAATGGCAAATACGAGTTTGCGCTAACATACAGAAAAACTAAATAGGAAGGGGAAGAAGGGGGGGATACGGGAGGGAATAAAGGAAGAGGAGGGACAGCTAACACGAAGGGCCATTTGAGGGGTTGTCTGGAAACCTGCTACTGTAAAGCCTTCTTAAGGTGTATACACAGATGAAAGACATCTAAACAGAGTCCCCAACACCAGGGAGGCGATGGCCAAGCACTCGGCACCAAGGGAGACCTGCAGTTCAAGGAATGGCTTCCATCTAGTTGAGTCGTTGGCCAAAGGGGTCCGAGGAAACCTCCAAACCGCTCATGGTATTGCTATGGCCACTGGTTACATAACGTGACAGTACGACCCTACTGCCTAAGGTAACACTTACACGTGGTTGAACACAGAGAGCGTGAGGTGGTGCCTAGCTGTGCCCACCCTGCTGACCGGTGTGGTGGCACGAGAAGCCACTCTGCACATCACCAGCAGTGCAGGCAAGTCCCCGGCTGCCCACCCACATGCCCACAACAGCAGACCTGCCTCCACGACACGCTGCAGGAGTGACACAAATGTCCTGTGGGGTGGCCAACTCCTTGAGAAAGAGCCGGTGTCCTCGGCCAAGAACCTCCAAGGGCCATGGACTTAGGGGAGAATCAAACACCACCGTTCTCCTTTGCCCACAGACCGGGGCGTCACCCAGCCAGCACCAGGGAAGCTTCCTATGAGGTGGGACTAGTACAGAGTCCACAAAGCACACTGAGGGAGAGAGGGGTGGGATATCCTCATCAGACTCCTCCCCTCAGGACTCTGTGAGCCAGAGAGATGGAAGACACCGTGGAAGCAGCCTGTCAGACACAGCAGGGCTGGCCCGGACCTCAGCTCACAGAGGTTGTGGCAGCATGCACGGGGCCTGCGCAAGTCCAAGCCTGATGGGTGCTGCAGCTGAGAGGGGGAAGAGGACAGGCTCTTCCATACGTAACCAAGAAGCTCTGAACAACTGACACCCACGTACAAAGGAAAAGCTAGTTTTCTCTGACGGAGTCTGACTGGGGCTCACTAACATGTAAAGGGAGGCCTGTGACACATGAAGCGAACACAAAGTGAACTGCGCCGTGTGCTCTGGCGATCCCCCACCCTTTGGTCTTACTAATGTTTTTGCTTGTATAGTAATAGTTTCTGGTTTTGTGGTTTTGTGTTTCTTGCGCTTTTTCTTTTTTTAATCTGGTTTGCCTGTTTTTTTTTTTCTAAAGAGATAAGAGAAACAAAGATGTGGATTTGGGTGGGTGGGGAGGTAAGGAGAATCTGGAAGGAGCTGGAGGAGGGGGAACAATGCTCAGAATATATTAGATAAAAATAATTTATTTTCAATAATATAATTATAATACATAGTTCAAAAAAGTGTTAGTGTAAATACAGTGTGCAGCCCCAGATCACTCAATAATGTCTACAGCTCCATTAGAGCCAGCGGTTCCGGCTCACCCTTGAGCGGCCTGCTGCCCATCTGGAGAACATTGGTTCACTGAGCTCCCAAGAGCTGTGAGGTGTTGATGGGTCAGGCTGCAATCCTATGCTTTTCAAAACCTCAAGGGAAACTGGGACTAGCCTTCCATCCTTGCACAAAGTAGAAAAAAATAATTCTACACAAGCTTTAAAGTTTAACGTGGTGATTTTTACTGATCCACTGAAGGTATGTTTTAATGAAACTGGCATTTCTGGGATTTATTAGTTTATGGTAATGAAAAAATCCAAGGAGACGAGGCCAGGCTGGTACTAGACCTACACTGAGCTGTGAGGGGAAAGCAGTTCCAACATCCATAGTTTTGACTCCTTAAGGGCCCCCTAGAGTCCAAGGAGACTGGATTAACATGGGTTGGTTAAAAGACCACATCTCACACACCCAGAAGTTAAATCCCATCAGGGCCTCCTCTCCTTAAAGAGTAAGTTATCAGAATCAGGAAAAACAAATTATTTAAAAGCAAATCACATGAAACTATTAACATCAAAACCATGTATCTAGTTTTAAGTCAACTTCATAAATCCCATTAAAAGCCACCATGCACTGTCCTTTCCACATTCTTTGCATAGTCATTCTGTAGTCATTCTCTCCGGTGGAAGCTCTTCCGTGACTAATGAAAGCAAGGACACTACTTGGTACTTGCCATTCTGTTTAAATAATTAGCAATCCTGAACTCATTTGGCTGTTCTGTTAGCCCACTGCCATTCAGTCTTGAAGCCAGAGTGTGCATCAGAACCAACTAGAAAGAGCGTAGTTTTCACTCACCTGTTGGTAATGGCTTTCTGTCTCCTTTGGACCCACCTACTTCTCCATTGATACCACCAGGGTTTGAAGAGACCACCAAATTCTCTTCCTGACCAGCTAAATATTGTTTGCTTTGTTCACAAAGCAAAAAATTGTTCTTTTTATTTCCATTCTCTGGGCTTTTCAGTCTGAAATTGGGATGGTTATGCTGTGCTACAGGACTTCTTAAAGAGCTGTGTGGTGTGAGCTTGCTTTCCTTTTTCTCAAAACTCAGTGGCTCTGCCATCTGACACGTAGAGGGTTCCAAACTAGTTCGTGGCATCATATTGGGTGGCAATTTAACATTTGCTGAAGTCTGAGAAAAGAAATATAATTAAGAGGTGATTTGCAAAAATAGAAGAATTACAAGCCCGGGTGACTTCTTTCAAGCATTGCAGATCAGAAAATTCCCAAAAACAGTTTCAAGTAAATACAACCTTGCTATCCAAATCTGGCCTAAAACAGACATACATTTCTCTATTCATAATTACAAATCACAGGCTTGACAGATTCATTCACACCAACTCAAGGACAGAAGTGTTGTCTCAGAGAGCCACACCATTCCGTACCAGGAACAGAAAAGACCTTTCACAACTGAAGACACTGCTTCCCGCGTAAGGCCTACCTCTTCCTAGTGGAGCATGATACAGTCTGCTGCCTAAGTCAGCTTGTCACTCCGCCTTCTAGCTTTCTAACACCAGGAACTTCCACTTACCCAGAAGGCCCTGGCTCTCCCACCTGCCTGATCATCCGAGCCATCCTCCTCTCAGCTGACCCCTATTCTCCCTGGTTTTCCCAAGCATCCTGCTTTGACAGTCTTCAGCTGAGCTTCATAAACTGCAAAAAAGAAGAAAGTATTTCTTTCAAGGACCTATTCTTGGAGCTTTCTCTGAAAATGAGTCTGATAGCTACAAGCTTTCCATGTTTCTGTGGCTGCAAGTGCCTGGGAGGAACATCTGTCCCACAATGCTAGCTCAAGGTTTTCCCATCCCTCTAAAGGACTACTAAGTTTTATCACTGCCCCAACAGAAGCCCCTGGAGGAGACCAACAACTCTTCCTTTTGGCAGAGTGGCATGCAGCATGCAGGTGACACTGCCTATTCTCTCAAAACCTTCAAAGGGAGAAGCCAGAAACTAATGTCATTTAATATGCTCTTGAACAGACCTAAACAGCAGAAAAATGCTCCCCTTCTGTGTCTTAAAACTTCTATTTCATTACTTGTTTTAAATTATATATAGTTTAACACAACCCTGACAGTATGTAAGAGATAATGAAATTGCGGGCCATGAAAAAAAAATCTGTCAACAGAAAAAGCTTTCTGAACATGCAACATCCAAAAATTCAGATTCAAATATGCAGATAATCCAAGGAATTTTCGACAGACTCTGCAGGGTGGCACCACATCTTTAGGCTATAGTAGTCTTCAGGTCCTAAAGGTCCATCGGGTCCAATCTGTGCTGTGAACGAACACCCTCAGCTTGGCAAACCATCAAACACTGCCCAAAACACCCAGGACAGACTCCAGACTGTTGTTACCCTTCAGAATTTCTAAGCTCTTCTGCCTTTACAGATACATGAATGATTTAGCTACACAGATTACTGTATGTTCCTGTCTTTAGTTCTCTAAGTATATGAAATCAGGACATCTTTGAGCTATACAGTGTTAGAATATTTGATTTTGAAAATTGCTTTTTTGAGTTTCAAAGTTGAGTTTCATAAAATATTTTTAAAAAATTTTGGTTAGAGTTTTAGAGATTTTGCAACAGTTTCTGAAATGGTTCTAAATATAAATTTAGCATGTTTTTACTGTGTGTAACTTAAAACATTATATTCAGCTTTGGCTATCACAAAGTTAAAGTGTCAATCAACTCTACAAAAGTTTAGAATACTCTGGTACAGTGTTAAGTGTTCAGGAGTGACTTAATCCTTATGTAAATTATCAAGCACATAATTTTATTAGCATGCAAATCTCCTTACTATTTAATCACTATAAAGCTTAAGCAACAAATGAAATGACTTAAGTTTAAAAGCTCTGTTCACGGTCTGACACACTCCACTACTTCATCCCACTCAGGAACTCACACTGCAGTACAGCTCTGGACCTGTACAACTACAACTGCATACTTTTATTTGGGCACTGTATTCAAGAGAAAACAAATAAAACACTCAGACATCCTTCGAGGCTCATGCTGCCTCCTGAGACAACCTGCACACATTCAGACATCCTTTGCTTCTTTCACCTGCAGATAAAATGCCTCCTAGATTCCTTTGGCTCAAGACTGATTATCAGAGATCCACAAAGTCCGTGACTCACACCAAGCATGATTCTAGGTGCAGCATGACAGTGGGCAGAGCCAGGGTGCCCTGACCACCGACTGCAGCATCCACTCACACACTAGCACTCAGCGCCTGGGTGGCCGTGAGTTCACAGAAAACTCTGTCACCTAAAATTGCTGGAGTGAATTTCTGTAATACACGTGGTTCTGGCATCATTACCCACTTTCCCTTCTGATTTCTACACATAGTAACACACAGAAACAGAATAATCACCACAATCAGGACACCATAGCTTTTAAAGCTGAATTTAACATTAAACAATAACAATGAACAAAAAAGGATTGGGAGAGATGGCTCAGCAGGTGGAGGCACTCGCTGCCAAACCTGACAGTCTGCATTTGATCCCTGAGGTCCTGGAAGGAGAGAACCAAGTCGGGCAAGCTGTCTTCTGACCTCCACACATGCCATGGGACTGATATATACACACACAATAAGTAAACAAACTGCATCTACAAGACAATTTACAGCCTCTTAGATCTCATGTCAACCACTGAGCCCCCTCTCCCCACAGTGGGAAGTCTGTATAGTCAATTCTGCGATTTACAGACTCCTGATATGAGTAAGGAGAGCTGACAATTCTGGAAGGGTTATGGTATCTTATGTTCTAACCACACTTGGTTTTAAACAGACAATACTTTCTCTATAACACAGTTTTTTTTAAAAAAAATACGTAATTTATTGTTATTTTTCGTTCATTGGTGTTTTACTTGTGTGTATGACTACATTAGAGTCTCAGAAGCTCTAGAATTGGAATTACAGACAGGCATGAGCTCTCACATGGGGGCCGGGAATTGAATCTGGGTCTTCTGGAAGAGCAGCCAGTGCTCTTAACTGCTGAGCCATCTGTCCATCCCATAACACACTACTTTTACAAGACACTGGCGATGAATAAAGATGTAACATCCCAGAGTTCACAATAACTATCTGTTGCCTTAGCTAAAAGAGGGAGAACTGAACATCCCTCAAATTTCTTAAACAGAATTGAGAATCAATGCACTAGAAGTGAGTTGTATTGAAATGTATCCAATTGTCAAGCAAGAGTCAACTTCACTTTTCATGTGCACATCTTCTGCTTTTACTGCAACGAGAAATAAAGCTCCCCAAAGCAGCCCCTTACGTTTCAATCCTTTTATTCCCACAGAGCACAACTCTGTCTTTTTTTTTTTTTTTTTTTTTTTTTTTTTTTTTTTTTTAATGTGGCAGGAGTGTCCCCATGAACAGCGTGGTCTTTTCCCTCTGGGAGTCTTCAAGCCTAGACCTTGGAGTAAGACCCTGGCTGGTGAGGGTTAGTGTGCAATGCTTTTCCTCCTCTCAAGTTCACTCTTGCCTTCCTGGTGACGTTGTGCATTCCAGGAGAGACATTCTACCCAAAAGGAAAGGCAACTTTTGAGCTATAAAACTCGGTAGAGCTTGAGCTCTGAAATCAGATCAAGCCCCACCTTCCTCATTTAGCTACACCATTTTGCTCAAACCATTTCATCTTTTGAGGATTCAATGACTATAAAATTTAGCAGGCTGATATAGTAACTTCCTGCTTAATATTACCATGAGGATTAGAAAAGGGACTGGATCTAAACCACCCAGGACAAGAGAGGCTGCTTTCGTAAACCCCTCCTCCCCGAAAGGAGCGGCGAACGACTCATTTAAGACATATGGACACACGGAAACACACAAGGAAAATCACTCTATCACAGATACATACTCCCCCAGCCTTTCTTCCTTTCTTGGTGTCGGGAGAAACGAGGAGTTTGCGAGACTTTGTTTGCTGGCCTTCCATTTGCCATCCTTCTGCACGTTTAAAATAGCATTAATCTCGGGGTTAAAGCACATTTCTTTAATTCTAAACGTGAGTAAACGACTGCTAAGTTGAAAAACTTGCCACCTTGCATCCATCCGACTTGGGCTCAGCACCCACTTAAGATGCAGTTCCCACGATGGCGGGGAAATAAACACACCTGGCTGCTTAACTCTGGAGGCCCAACAGGAGAAACTTATCTACACGTGGGGCCCTGGGAAAGCCAAGAGTGATGCCAAGAGTTAACACACCTGTTAAGCCAACCCGGGCTCCTATAACACCCGGCTGATGCTACAGGAGGCGAGAGCGTTTAGGGAAAGGCTCTGTGAGTACTACAAGTTGGCACTCCAGCTCTGACTTCAAGCCAAGCATCGAATCCACAAGTCTTTGGGTGGAGACACACACCACCACCGCCCGCCAAAACACAAACCCACTCTGTCACTTAAGCGCTGTTTGGAGAAATCGCGCAAAGGACCCCTCCTCGCCCAAGCCGCAGCTCCCGGGCTCTGGCTCCCGGTAACCCACACATTCCGCCCACGCCCATAGCCCGGGGCAAGGCTCGGAGGTCTCTGCCCTTCCGCCTCTGCCCACGAGCAGGTCCTGTGCCCTCCCAACGCCCGACCTAACGCCCGACCTCAACGTCCAGCCCTCGACTTCCGGCTCCCAACGACCCGAGCCCGAGGCGACGCCGCCTCGACGCCGCGCTCCCGCGCCCGGGCGCCCAGGCCGCCAGACTGGAAGGAGCCGAAAAGGCGGCTGCCGCCGGCCGGTCTCCGAAGCCCGCCGGTCGTGCTGGCGCTTGTCACACTCCGCAGCCCCGGCGTCCAGGAGCTCCGCCCTCGCTCACCTCGCCGCGGACCTCCAAAGCCACCCTCGTGCCGCCGGCCCCGCGCCTGCGCAGTCCGCGCCACGTGCGCGCGCCCCGCCCACGCGCCGCGAGCCGCAGGTGCTGCGAGCCCAGCCGATGGGAAGCAGGTGCTTGCGTGCCGGCTCGCGGATGCGGGACCGCACAGTGCTCCTCCAGCTTTCTGCAGGAAGGTGTCCGCGGGGCTCCGGGGTTACTGTACTATGGGAGAGTCCTTCAGTTTCCAGCTTACTCCTCTGCGCCTGTTTCCTGTGGAAACTAGGCCAACTAAACCCGGGCCCCAACCGAGGACCTGCCCTTCAGGGGCGGGGGGGGGCTGGGTGACAAGTTAAAAAGAATGGCATCTCCATGTACCTGGCATCCACTTTCCGCGGGACTCAATCTTGTCAATCGTCTCTGTATTTTTGATCCAGTCACTTCATGAATGTTTAGAAGCAATGACCAAATTTATGCCTTTATTCTTTTTACATTTTCCTTTATTTTCTGCCATGGTGCATATGTGGAAGCTGGGGAACAACTTTTGGGAATCAGTTCCCTTGCTTTTGTTTTTGAGCCTGCATCTCATTATGTAAGCCCTGGCTTTCCTGGGTGTTGATGGATGTCCCTGGACTCACAAGAGAGCTACCTGCTCTGGTACTTGCTATGTTCACCAGGCTGGCCATGAACTTAGAGAAAACCACCTGTCGCTGTCTCTAGAATATTAGGGTTAAAGGCATGGGCTACTGTTAGGTCCCAAACCCAGAAGGAAGTGCGAACTGAGGCTGTCTACTTAACATATCAAATGGGACTTGGCTGCCAGATTCTCACAGTTTACCCCAGGCCCTAACTAGTAAAGGGTATGGCTGGTATCCACTGCCTCCAGCTGAGGAGCTGGGGTGCCGTTACCTAGCTGCCCTTTCATATATAATCCAGCCATTTTGGTTACCCAATTGTTTGTCTGACCTTCACCCTCCTGGTCTCCTGTCTCTCCCCTTCCCCATCCCCTCACATAGCCCAACGCAGGGCCGTGTTCACTCTGGATTCTCCTGTCTCTGCACTCCACCACCATGCCTAGGAGCAATCACAGCCTTCCTTTACTTTCTTTTCTTCCCCATTCAGCTACCATGCCTGGCATTGTCTTTTTCATTTTAAATAATTTTCAGAATACTTTCACCTTTAGAGAATAAAGAAAAAGAAGAGTTCTCACAATGAAGTCACATCCGGTTTCTCCTGCAATGAACACATTAGGAACTGTTGTTTTTAAATGAAGCCCATATTTATTCAAATTCATGCCCTGCTTCTATCTTCCATCCTCCGAGCCAGAATCCAGCATTACAGTTGTCTTTCCATGGCTGGGGCAGTGTCTCCTGATTGGCAGCTGATTCCAGGAGTGCTGATCAAGCTTTGGGAAGCATTCTCGGTGATCATGAAGTTTGTTTGATACAGTTCTCATCACAGGAATGGAGTATGAAGCCTGGCACAGTGGGGCACGCCTTAGTCCCAGGCCCCGGGGAGGCAGAGGCAGGCAGATCTCTGAGGCCAGCCCAGTCTACAAAGTGAGTCCAGGACAGCCAAGGCTACACAGAAAAACCCTGTCTCAAAATAAATAAATTTAAAATAAATAAAAGGAATGAAGTATGAGTAGTTTGGAGGACCATGGAGGTGAAACAGCAATTTTATTGTATGATATTAAGCATACATTTATGAATATAATTTATAATGCATAACAGACTTGATTACATAGCTGATGTGGGGCTTATTACATTTCTGCCCTGTAAAGCTTTCCCTTTCTGTACAAAGCGCTGTGGGAGAAAGTCATTATGCAGAACCCACATCTGAATAGACTATGTCCTGAGCTATTTTACACACCTCTTGCCCCAAACTTGGAGCCAGACCTTGGAACTTTTTGGTCAGTCTAGACTCACTTGGTGGAAAATAGAGATGTGGAGAGTAGGGTGTACTTTAGGCTGCTCCTGAGTCTTTTCTGAAGATGCCTAGCACTCTGAGGCCTGAATTTCAGCCCTTGTTCGTGCTGAGCAAATGCTGCACCACTGACTTCTTCAGGAAAAAATAAATCACCGATTTCACTGTGATATTTCTAAATCCAAATGTAGAATTGCAGTCTTTCTATCTCATTCTTTTGGTTTTACACCAGTGTTTCTTTTCTCTATTGGTCTTATTGGTTTCCCAAACATATTTAATGTGCTTTACTACCAGTCATCAGTTCAGAAATACATTTCCAAAATAATTCTAATGTTACTCCTGACAATATGAGCACTGAAACAACTTTTAAAATAACAATCATGCGTGCATTCATGTCTGTGTGCATTTAGAGACACGGTGTCCTGGAGGCCAAGCTAAAGTGCTACCTACCTGCACCTCCCAGGTGCCTGGATAACACGTGTAAGCCACCACTCCTTGCTCAACCCATATCTGTCATAGGCATTTTAATTGCAAAATGTGCTGTAATGCATTACCGTCATTTGAGGAGGGAGAGGCCATTTTATGATTAAAGAGGGATAGTACATACCACGCTGCGTCTTTTTCCTTCCCAGCAACTGCCAAAGTCCTTTAACAGGAGTAAATTTTGCTTTACAAACTTGCTCTTGAAGACAGGACTTGAACTATTTTCACTCACAACTTATGTCTACACGGTCCTACAGTTAAAAACATCTTCTCGATAGACAGAGGTGGTTTGCGAAACCTCCAGACTGAAACTGCTCACCTTCCTTTACTCCCCAAACTAGGCTTGGTCACTGTAATATTCACCCTTCTAGTAGCCATGCAACTGGCAAGGGGGCCTCGGTCCTCCGCAAGAAGACGCCGTCGCACCAACAGCTTACTAGTGAACAATAGCACCGGGTGCCGCGGAAGAGTCCAGGTCAAGGGTGTTATGGAACCCTGAAGAGCTCTGTCCCAGGGATGAACGCACAGGCAGGCTGCTCCCGCTGACTTGGCCTACCCCCCGCCAGCGCAAAGTTTGCACCATTAGAACCGGGAAGCCACAATCTCGAATTCTTTTATTACTTTATGTTACTGACTCATTAGACGATCGGCCAAAGGGTGAGGAGGAAAGATGACAAACGAGTACTTCCACCGACAGAAAGTACCGGCGTGGGGAGGGAAAGGCAAGGAGCAACCCAACCGGCGAGGCGCCGGAAAGGCAGCGGGCTACAGCCTCCCTGGGGAGTAGGCGGGGGTGAGGACAAGATGCTGGGCGGGGCCTCCAGGAGCCGCGGGCAGGAGGCGGTGTCCCGAGGCCGCGCCCACCACCAGGTGCACAGCGTCACGCGGCCTGCGCCGCGCTGATTGGCTCCCCCAGAGGGCCCCGCCCCCCGCGCCGGCTTCGGCGTCGCCGCCATCTTTGTTGATGTGTCAGCTCCGCAGGGGTTTTGGGGGGGAAGCCTCGGCTGAGAGCCAGGGACCGGCGTGGTCTCCGCGCGTGACTTCCTCGCCCACTCCGCGTCGGCGGGACCCCGCCATGGAGACGCTGGCCCCGGAGCCGGAGCTCCCTCGGCCTCGTTAGGGTGCGGCCCGGGGCCGGACGACGGACGGTGAGTGGCCGCGGGGCGTCCGGGCGGGCGTCCGTCCGCGCGCCGCCTCGCGACGGGGTTCCAGCTCCGGGCGGCGCGCGACCCCGCGCGTGGACGCGATGGCGGGCCTTCGGGGCTCCCGGCCGCGCCGCTCTTGCACGTGGACTGCGATTTTTACCTGGCTTAGAAAAGGGTCTTTCGGGTTGTGAATAACAGGGTTTTTACGCTACCCTTTTTGTTGCTGTTTCACAGATAACCAGTGTATTTCATGAATCTTGGTAGGGAAGCATTTCAGATTTATCTCTGCCCCGCTACATAGTCTCAAAGTAGTCATTCCAGGGAAGCAGGTAGAATGATGGCTCAGCTGCTAAACAGTTCGTAACTTGTTAAATAGTCACATCTCGATTCTTATTTCGAGACACAAGTTTGTACCCAGAACACCTGGGTTTGCCGCTTCCATTTGTGAGAGTCAGAAAATAGTAAAATGTGACTGCGAAGTAGGAGGATTTATCAGACCAGGGTCCTGTTCCTTTGATGGCCAGCCTTCCTTTTCTACAGTGATAGGCAGGGTGCTCGTCGGAGGAAAATACGAAGCAAATTAGCATGACAGAGTCTCAGAGGGGCACTGTGTGTTAAAGTGGTTTGGTTTGTTGGTGTGGATGTGGCCTCCCAACCCTAACTGCCCTTTTCTATCTGTAGTGCTAATCTGTGGAGGAGGTTAGGGACCCAGAGACAGTGCTACAGAAACTGATGTCCGTATGTAAAGTGCACTGTGTGCGTCTACTCTTCAGCTCTTTATTAGTGATGACAAATTAAACAACGATGACTGGCCCGACTTCTTTCATGGTTTTGGTTTTGGTTTTGGTCCTCTCATGTTTTAAATTCACTGAAGATTTTGGGGAGGCCATAATTTTGCAGTATTGTACCAATGCCTTCCGGTTTGTACAGTCTAATAGATAAGTATAACTTTGGGAGACTGCCAGAGGACACATGGACTGTGTTTATTTTTTATTTGTTTCTAATTCAGAATAATAGAAACTTAAGATTTTGTTTGTTTGTTTCACAAACCAGGTTCAGTGGAGTAGGACTGACATTTCTGTCTTTGTTGCTGACTGAAAGGCTGTGGTGGCACCGTAACTGCCCTAACCCCCAACTACAGAATCACCCTGTGGTGTGCTGCAGCGAGGCAGCACAGGGGATAATTGCTTAGCATGTTCAGTTTATAGTTACATGGCCACTGTAGTGAACAACCTCAGCGCAGCGCTTTAAGGAAGCAGTGATGGTTGGAAGCACAAGCAGCCATATTTAGAAACTGCCTTTCCATTTGAAGGATACCAGGATCTACCCTAGTTTACAAAAGTTACCCAATTCACTGTAAAGAAAGAATACTTAACCTCAAATTGTTTTTTTCTTTCCTTGAGTAAAACTAAGGTTTTTCTTTTACTTGCCTTTAAAGGACTAAGGTCAGTTTTTTAATTTCTCAAACTCATAAAGATCATTTGGCTTACAATATTTATTTGTCCTATTTAGTATTTATTTTAGAGTCAGCAATAGGATAAATAACTTAGATCTACAAATGATACTGTAATCTTACACCATTTCAAACTTACTTGAACTTTTTAACAGAGATTTTGTTTGCCCTAAGAAGTGAAATACTGGGTAAAGGGGCGTTAGACACCAAGAGCTGAAACAACCCCACATAACACTGTATCACGAGCACCCCTGAACAACCCTGCATAACAATGTCTCATGAGCACATCTCCTAAACAACCCCAAGAATACTGTATCAAGAGCCAATGCTTTTTTGTTGAGGGCTGAGCTGATTGTTCACTGTGGGATTAGTAAGTGCTAAATAGTTGTTTTTAAAAAACTGCATCTTACCAAATTAACCAAATTCATGTATAAGTCCAACTTTTAAAGGAAACTTAGAAATCCCATTTAATTGAGGTCAGTTTTTTTATATTCAGTTTTCAGATTTTAAGAACAGTTAGATAAAAATACTTTATTAAAGTTGAGTTCTAGGCAAGTAGCTTCAAATTAAGATTTGTTAATTTTATGTTTTAATATTTTAAAAACCATTTAGCGTCATGTAAAAATACATAGATCTGAAGTACCCAAATTATGAGTGCCTGTTGCAAAGGTGTTGCAAAGGAGGTGTTCATACTGTAAGATGTATAAAATACCCGGTATCTCATTGAAAATAAAATATGAAAAGATGAAAAAGAAAAAAAAAAGCAAGCTTGTTAGTTAGCATTGTTTGGTTTGTGTAATAAAGAACTGAAAAAACCATGAGTATATTAAAATTGTAATTTGTATTTGATTGCTTTATCTGAAGTCTTCCTTCTTGGAGAACCAGTTCTAGAATCTTTGAAACAACTGCCTCAGCTTTCATTTCAAAAGTTAAAATCTATCTGCATAAATTTACCTTCTATGAAACCTCACTCAGCTGTTTCTATCAGGGAAGCATGACTAACGTTTCTTACACGGGGTTTCTTCTGCTCCATTACTTTGTTATTTTAATTTAAAAGCTTAATCTAGGAATGTGTGTCAAAATTTACTATTTAGGGATTATGAGGAGATAAGTATTGGATGTCTTTTAATTTGATTTTTACTTTTGACTTGAGTTGCCATATCAGAATCTTGTTAGAACTATTCAGAAAGGTAAGTTATTTTCTTTATACTACTTTCAAACTGTATTTGGGAAATATGCAAAAATTTCTTGAAGTGTTCACACTTTCTTACAAAGGACAGGGAACGATTTTATTTAGCTTACAGGCCTAGTTTGCATATGTTGTTAATGCATACTTGAGAAGTACACAGCTGGAATTAGTTGGGGGTGGAGTGGCGCACAGTTTAAAATTGTAAAAAGTGTGCCAAACTGCAGTTCTTCAAGCGGACCTAAAACAAGCTTTTGCCTGTGAAATGCTGGTATGCTTTAAAGTGCTGCAATGATGCAATGATAAATATTCTAGTGGCTGAGCATTTTACAGCAGCAAACAAATGCGATTTACCAGGCTCCCAACACCTAGGGCAGTGTCCACGCAGAAAAACTGCCCATGTGTATCTGGCAGACCAGCACTTGGGGCGTGTTTTTTTTTTTTTTTTTTTTTTTTTAAGATTTATTTATTATTTATACAACATTCTTCCTGCACACTAGATCTCACTATAGATGATTCTGAGGCAACATGCGGTTGCTGGGAATTGAACTCGGGACCTTTGGAAGAGCAGCAAGTGTTCTTAACCTCTGAGCCAGCTCTCCAGCCCTTGGGACGTTATTTTTGAGCTAGTACCTTTGCATGAAGCTTATTTGGTGATCTTTTACCAATTATCTGTGGATTGAATTCATTTCTATTTATAGTTTAGTGAGCCAGCCTATGGGGTTTTTTTGTTTTGTTTTGTTTTGTTTTTTCTTCTTGTAGTACTAATTTATGGGAAACCAGAAATAGTGCTAAAAGCTGTTAGTGTTTTCAGTTATGCAGTTTTGTGTGGGATAACTTTCTAGAAATATGTGTTCGTTAGGAAGTAAAAGAGGAGCTGGAATTAATGGAATTAATGCCTTTTTTTTTTTTTAAATTAATGCCTTTTTGATGGTTGCCTACAGCTGAAATGCTGCAGCCAGAGCCGCAGAAGCCAGCTTCAGAGTGGGAACCAGAGGTGGGCTGACAGGGGAGTTGGTCCTGTACTACTGTGTCAGAAACAGGAAGACCTAGGGGGACAGCACGTGAATTGAGAGGAATTTTTGATTATAAATTATTTTCCTCATGCATAACAGTTATTACAAAATCATAATAGCTTCTTTTTTACTTCAAAATAGCAATGTACATTGTAGTCAGTAACCATACTTACTGTATGTATCTGTGAATGTGAATTTGGTTTGTACCAGCACCTAAAACAGTTTGTTTTTAGCCCTTTGTTTATTTGGTTGGTTGGCTTGGTTTTTTGAGACAGGGTTTCTCTGTGTAGCCTTGGCTGACCTGGACTCGCTCTGTAGGTTGGCCTCACAGAGATCACCTGCCTCTGCCTCCCTGGGTGCTGGGATTACAGGCATGTGCTATCGTGCCCAATTTTAGTCTTTGGTTTTACAATCCTCCCCTTTTTTCTTCTGGTAGGCTATTCAATCTTCAATAGTTTTGATGACAGCATTCCTTCCAAAAGAAGAAAAACTTGGACAGTATCCAAATTGTTAGACATCAGTGTTGCTAACTGGAGCTGCCTGTAGTGGAACCCAGCTGACTCCTCTTACCCCCTAGCTAATTAGACAGATCAGCTTAAGGGATTGGTTGGTTTCTGTTTCTGTCTGCAACAGTTCTTACGCACCCCTTGGTGTTGTCATTGTTAACATGCGCACAGACCCTTCTAAACACCCCTGTTTCCTCTGCCCTCCAGTCGTAGTCACTGGGCATCAGCAAAATACATTTGCAGACATAGTGCTTACCAGATGCCAGTTGGTATAATGACTTTTTCACAGGTCATGACATATTGAGAGGCAGTCTGTAAATTATTTGTCTTTAAACTTAGTCTTTAATTAATAGATATGTAAAACAAATTCTGAGCTTGAGTAAACAGGTTGTTTTGTTTTGTCTTGCTGTTACCTAGATGAAGCTCCTGTAGAACATACGGTACCTTTTTTGTTGTTGCTGTGTACTGTCTGTACAGTAGAAGTCTCCTGCCCATTACAGGCTGTTCCAGCCCACATCACTTCACAAAGCCAGCGGCTCCCTACTGCCATTGAGACACATTCAACAAAATTTGCAAAAATGGTAGTAAATGTCGTACAGATCGTATTTGTTAGGTTTACCTGTTTATTGCTGTTAGTGTTTGGCGGTATGGAAGTTTCAGTTCTGAGTAAATTTCCTTGTTGCAAGAACAGTGGTCATTTCAAAGGTGGCTGCCTCTTCAGAGATGTAAAGAAAGGCTGCTGGATGAGTGTTGGCAGGGTGTTCCTCCAGTTGACAGGAGATTGTTCTTGTGCTTGGAATAGGGATGGTTTGGGAAAATTAAAGTCAGTCCTCAGCACAAATCAGTGTCTGTGGACGAAAGGAGGAACATTTTAGAGGAGGGCAAATCCGTGGGCGTGTGAGTGTGCTTGCTGAGGATCTCAGCTTCCTGGTGGGGCGTGACTCGACAGTGGAGCAGCAGCAGTGTCTGAAGGTGGGCAGAGACCAGGCTTGCAGACTCATACCACTGCTTCCTGAGAAATCTCAGCGATTTCATTTAAAAATAGAAATAACAGCAAAAGGGGAGGTGGGAACCCTAAACACAGTGTCCTGAGGAAGAATAGAAGATAGTCCCCAACTGCTTGACTGAACAGTGTTTGTCTAGTCCTGCTCCAAGAGACAGGGGTTCTGCCTTTTATCTGTAGCTCTGTAGAGTGGAGACAGAACCTCGTTACCTCAAAAGAACAGAGAGGTGGGTCTGGTGCTTGACTTCAGCTGGCTGTGCTTGCTCTGTCAGAAAAGGTGCCAAATGTGGAGTATACAGCAAGAGTGTTACGGCTTCCTGGCTCCACTCTTGCCCTTTTACCATTGAAGGCTCACTCCACAGCATACTTCATCACTTCTCTGAAGCTGGTGATTTGTCACCTCTTAGCAACCCTGTCCCCACCCTCGTGACAGGCCCAAGCAGTCTATTAACTACTTTGCCCTTTGACTTGAAATTACAGTAAGGGAGAATTGAATGAGATTAAGAAACTAAGTGTCCCAGGTGTGTGATGAGGTGTGGGTTGGGTTGCAGGGAGGGGAAGGTGACAGAAAAGCAGCAGAACATGTTTAAGAGATTATGAAAGCAGAGGAGGAGAGGGAGAAGCTGACTGGCTGCATGTATGATGTGATTGATGGGGAGGTCCTCAGTTACAGGCGCTGCAGTAAGAATTTGGGTTTGGCCAGACTGAGTTTAAGATTTTGGAGAAAGCTCCAGTAGTAATGCCCATTTTCTGGTAGACCTTAGTACAGCACAGGTGTAACATGAAGAAGATGGGATAATTCCGTGTCTGTAACTCAGGGCACTGACTGGAAATTCTCATGTAGGCATCAGCTATGCGGTATTGCTTCAACTTAGCTAACTGGGTAAGTGCTAGGAAGGAAGAAAGATTTGAGAATGAACCCTGGGGACCAAGGAAACCAAATGAAAGAATGTGTTTTTCTGTTGACAAATCATGGCACACAAATTAGACTCTCAAAGTTGTTGATAAAATTTTTTCTTACCTAATGGAATTCTGGGGAGTCACAATGCCTTTTTCATCTGTTCTCTCCTAAAAGGATTCCTTACCTGCTGCCCAGGGCGTGTTCATCTGCTAGTTCAGCTTCTGTTGATGGAACCTCAACTAGTTATGATGTTTAAAGCCACTGCAGTGGTATATTTGTGTGATTTAAATTCAGCAACAGCTTAGTATGTCTTATATTTATTGTATATCATCATCACATGTATCTTTAAAGAGAGTTACTTTGAGCTAGTTTGTAAGTTGCTTTGAGGCTAGTGTACCTGCCTGAGATTCATTTTTCCCCAAGATTTTGGAATAAGTTGCTGAGATATTCACGTGTTCACTGCATTTGTTTGTCTGGTCTAAAGTCTTTAATACATATGCCAGCTTGGGATTGCTTATGAAACATCCAGCACAGTAGTGTTAATTTGTTTCCTATGGAGGTAAGTGATGCACAGTTAGTGATTGGGAGCCAGAGATCAATGTCTTTAGTGACTGTCGCCTGAACAGATGATCCAGAGGGTTTGACAGACAAGATGGCCTTTTCTTCCTGACAGTGACTGCTTTCTGCAGTCCTGGAATAACTTTCTCAGGCATTAGCTTTATTTTATGCAGGTTTTAGGTCAGCAAGTATTAGCGAGCACACTGGGTGCTGGGATTCGTACAGTAAAATCAAATGTGGTACAGCCTTAGGGTTTATTATAAATCATCCTCAACAGAAAATTCACTCCTGCTTAGTGTTGTAAGGGTTCTGTGTGTCCAGTTCTCTGTTTTGTGTTTCCGAATCCTCTGACCATCCCCTTTCTCAAAGTGCATGCATTTTTCTGTTAAAATATTTAATCTTTTTACTTATTGGCCATTTGTATACTTCATGTTGGAATTCCTTCTTTAGAGTTGCCCATCTGCCCAGTTGCAGTCTGATTTCATCTTTGGAAACTCCACTTTTTGTATGTATACTGTTTAAATAGCCAAAGGCACAGACAGTTCTTTTCATCAAGACCAGTAGGTTTTTCATTTTGTTTTGTTTCTCGAAATAGGGTGTCCTTTTGCAGCTCTAGCCATCTTGGAACTCTGTAGACCAAGCTGGTCTCGAACTCAGAGATCCACCTGCCTCTGCCTCCCAAGTACTAGGATCAAAGGTGTACACCACCACCACCTGGCTAGTTTACTTTTAATTAAAATTTTATTTTTAGTTATGTGTATATATATGTTTTGATTAGAGGGTATGCATATGAGTCCACTGCCAGAGGAGGCCAAAAGAGGGAGCCAGATCCCCAGAGCCAAAGGTGGTGAGCCGCCCAGCATTGATGCTGGGAACTGATTGTGAGTCCTTTGCAAGAGCAGTGTGTGCTCTTAACTGCTGTGCCATCTCGCCAATTTGGTAGATGATTTTGTACTCTATATTTCAGGTTAAATTTTGAAGTTGACTAATTGTCCATAAAGAAGATAGAGGAGGAACCTTTGTAAATAGTATAAAAATGTATTTTCACGTAGTCAAAATAACAGTGTTGCTTTTGCTAGACAGCAGATATAGGGTCTGTTGGTTTCCACTGAGGAAAACGCTTAGAAATCAGCAGTGGAATTCCCCGGATCCCTGCCCATGTCACTTCCCAGCTGGCTCTCTGAGGGAAGTAGTGACTTGTTTTTAGGTGAATTTTCGTCATCACTCATATGCACTGTTGTGTCACCTTACTCGGAGGTTGCTCGGCAGTGTTGTCATTGCTGTCCTTTTGCCTGTTTCCTTGAAGGTCTTCAGGGGCTTCTGCCTGCAAAACGGAAGGGACATACTTCTTGACTGATCTTCCAGCTGTGCATGCCCCCTTACTGTGCAGCTGCAGCCCGGAACAAGTGAGGCCGGCACCCCAAGAAGGAGAGGTGCTGAGAGTGCAGTGTCCCTGCGCTGTGTCTGCTCTGGGTTGGCTGGTCTCTTCTTTCTCTAGGGAAGGGCCTTGTCAGAGAGATTGTGCGCGGTACACTTTGTGGCCGTGTCATAGAGGTGTGTAAAGGACCTTAGTTTAACTTTGTCAATTTATTGGATTTCTTAGATGTAAATGAAGAGCAGGAGCATATTTGAAGAAATGCAGAGTGAATTGGTGCCTGTCAGCATGTCAGAGACAGAGTGCATAGCTGCCATTACTTCCAACGCAACTACTGGGGAAACATCTGAGTTAAAGGGTGACTCATGCATCTCGGTTCCTGGTGACAAAAGCCCCGGATTAGAAGCAGAATCGGAACTATTGTCATCGAACTCTGATAGAATTTTGTATCAAACTAATGAACACAGTAGTCAGATTGAAGTCCGGGAAAGTCATATTCCAGACTGTGGCGGTGGTGAGAATTCTTGTGCTAAAACGGATACACGCCCAGAAAATTCTGAACAAGTAGATGACTTTCCTGGAAAACAAGTGTCAAAACACAGTGAACCAGGACAGACGGTGACACAGATACTAGCAGAGCTGAGGTCGTCTGCATTCTCAGAAGCTGGTCCTCCACAGGCGACCTCCACAAGCCTCTACGACACAGACTGCACCAGGACACTCCTTGCAGAGATGAAGACTGCTTCGGCGTCAGATGATTTGTTGGGGGAAATAGAATCTGAGCTCTTATCTGGAGAGCTTGCTGAGGAGCACCACGTCCCGAATGGCGTGAGCAAAGGACAGCATGCTTTGGCCCTCTTTGAGAAGTGTGTGCATGGCAAGTACCTGCAGCAGGAGCTCACCATTAAGAAGTAAGTGTGCTGCTATGGGAGAGGCAGCTCCTGTAAGGAGAGGAGCCTCTGTCTACCTTCTGTTTCAGGGTGCAGCCATGCACACAGCTGGCCGGTGCCTGTCTATGTCCTGAATGGCTGAGCCGCACACGTGTGCTGCCCGCTTAAGGGATAACTACAGTAAACAGTGTAAGTCCATTAGGGACCAAGAACTTCTAGAATGCAATCCAGGTTTTTAGTGTTGAAACAAGGTACGTCAAAATAAATTCAGAAGGAAATTACAAGTCATGAAATGTTAAGTTTGAAAGCTTACAATTTAGAGAACAGAAGAATTAGTTAATTGAGCACATTCTGCTTGTAGACAGACGTTTATTTGAATAGTGTTTTGAAGATAGCTTGATTTCCTTCAGCCTGTTTCTAATAGCATTTTATTATTCTGTATTTTTATTGTGGATTTTTATAGTAAAGTGATACATAAGTTTGGGCATAATGTTATAAGCTGTTAAGAAAGAAAAAGAAAAATCCTTCAGTAAACTACAAACAGATTTCTTTTAAACTATGCAACTTCACTTTTTTTCCCTCAAATTAATGAAGTGTGTGAATAAAAAAAGGAGGCCACATGCCAGAAGAGGATCACAGGGGAATGCACACCACAGTCCAGAGTGTTGCTTGAAATGGGCAGGCTTTTCCTTGCTTCTGCTCATTATGTTTCCATGTTATTCTGTTAGGTCAACCAGATTTCCCCAAACTAACTCACCCTTTAGTGGTTTTTCCCAGTGAACTTTATTCTGCTAGTATTCCTTTTCTATTCTTTGTTGGGAATCAGATGCCTTTGAAACTCCAGTGCCCTCTTAAGAACACCTCTGCCCACTTGGACCCCAGTTGGAGTACGGCTGGCTTGTGAACAGGCTCTGCTCTCAAGTCTGAGCTGGTTGTACTTCCACTGCTTTTACTTAGGCTGAGGGCACCTTCTTCATTCCCCTGTCATCTGCACCCACTGTGATCTTTTCTGTCCCCAAGATTATTTCTGATACCCTTTCCTGCTTTCCTGAGATGTTGAATCTTAACAGTTTATAGAACACATACATACTTCAATAATGTGTACATTATTAAATGTTATGATAGTAAGTGTATATTTAATAATCTCACATGCTAGTAATTATGTGACTTGCACACATCTTAACTCATGGAATCTGCATAGATACGTAGTACGTACTACTGTCACCCGAGGTATGTGAGGTCCCTGAGGCAGACTAAGAAATATGCTCAGGGTCAGATGTGATGATCTACAGAGCTGAGCTTTGTGAGTTTGGCTTCAGAAGTTTTATCAGTTGTTACTGGAAGTCATGAGGAGCAAGCACAAGCAAGCTCTTTGTCCACCTCCACCAGGCAGAGCAGCGGCCGGTGGCGGAGTAAGGAGGAGGCCGTCAGCTGAGTCAGACTGCATCCTGTGCAGGAGGCAGTACTTCCTCCTCCCTTACTCTCGTGAACAGTAAGGTATCATAGAAGTGTCAGATATTGTTGTGAGCTGCATTTGGCTCTGGGTTTACTTACAATATGTTTAATTCTAAACAAATCACTTATTGGTTTAGACAAGCAACTAGATGTTTTTCTTTTATACCTCCATTTAATTTACTATGAAGAAAACCACTGTGTTTGAGTTCTTTTTATTGAAAATTTCATAAATGCATCCTTTCCCAAATGTGAGTGTTTGTCCATTCCCATTTGCTGAGAGTTTTTGTTTTTGTTTTTGTTTTTTTACTGGCAAAATTGTACATATTGTCATTATGAATGACTCTGCAGTCAAGCTGGTTTACTTATCTACCCTCTCACATAGCTGTTTGTGTGGTGTGATCCTTAAGATACACTCCCTTTTCCCCTCATCCTCCTCTGGGTCTGTCTCTTGCTGTATACCCTCTCTCCCTTCCTTCCCTTTCCTTCATTCTTTCCTCATCTCTTCTTTCTTCCCCTTCCTTTTTTTTCATCCTCTTCTGTTCTGTGCTAGAGGACCTTAAAAATGATGGGTATGCACTCTGCCATGCGTCAACCTGTTGTACATTAAATTCTCCAGCACTTGTCTAATCTGTACCCTCCCTTTGGCCCCTGGAAAGTGCCACTCCACGCTTTTGTTCTGGTGTCAGTAGTAAGATTCAGTGACCCAACTTTAATTCTTAAGAGTTGTCTGGTGGAATGTGTACATGACAACCAAGAATAACAGATAACAAGGAAATAACAAATCCAGGCAGCAGGTATGGCCCACTGGTAAGGAACTTGCCTTATAGGGCTAATTGACCAGATAATTTTTTTTTTTAATATCTGACACATGAATCAACAAAGTCAGTATTTAGGCTTGCTAACAGAACTAGCTGCTCTTACCTTTCTTATCTTCCTGCCTTTTCTTCTGTCGACAAGATTAGAAATAGTTTATCCTTATACACACCATCACTTGAATGTAAGGACATGTTCTGAGAAAGTGTTGTTAGGTGTGGGGTTTTGTTCTTTTATGGGTATGGTATTTCATTAAAAAGGATTACTTGAGAGTATTAACTTAAATAATCAGGTGTCTACAGATAGATAATATTTCATGTCTCCTTTCCCTTTTGCTTTATTTCTATTGCCCTTTTATATTTAGATTAATTAAAGAAAATAAGAATCATCAGGAACTCATCTTAAATATTTGTTCAGAAAAAGACAATTTAAGAGAAGAACTGAAAAAAAGAACAGAAACAGAGAAGCAGCATATGAACACAATCAAACAGGTAAAAAAATAAATAAATAAATAAAAGTCTTCAAGACCATACTTAAATTTTTAAACTCCTGGAAAAAAAAAAGCCATCTAATAACTTAAAGTATTTCAAATGTAGGAAACAACTTCATATTTAATTTATGAGAGTGAATCTGAATTATTTTATATAAATGATATGTATAACTGTTCTAAATATGACATCTAAAAATAACAAATAACAAATAATTTTCTGCCCAAATAATGAAAAGGCTTGATTTAACTTTCTACCAGTTAAAGGAAGAAGTGGTTGATGCAGTATCCCCTAGATGTTTCTGCATGGCTTTGGGACATTTTCTCCCTTGTGATTTTAGCTTCATTCCCGGTGTTTTGTGAGTTCTGCTGTGAAGGCAAGCTAACTGATGAACTGGTGTCCCTGCTGGTCCTTCTCTTTCCTTCTTTTGAATGGGTGTGTTTACCGCATGGATGGACAGGAAGTGCTTAGGTTGGTAGCAAAGCCACAGCTGCTCTTGATTTTGTGAGCTACTTTTCCTCCTGTGGACAAGGGTGAGTATCCTGTCACTAGGTACAGAACTCAGCGCTGCTGTGTTGTGAGAAATGCCTCTTGGGTCTTCGTTATGTAGGCATCAGAAGGCGCACCTCAGCCAGCAGTGCTATAAGTCAGTAGGCGCAGTGCTGGGGTGCACCTACAGTCCACTTAAAGAGCTGTCCAGTGAAAACAGTGCCACACAGCCGTGTAACACAGTAACAAATGAAACTGACTTGTCCTCTACTGTGTTCTGATGTGTGTTCACTTTATGTATTGGAAGCAGACTGTTAGGTGTTGTACAGAGGACTTAGTTGTGATATTTGTGTGTTCTGGGTCCCCACACATAGGCTAAAGCCTGGGAGGGCCCTGAGAGCTGCAGGTTCTGTCTTCCGTGTGCACTGTAGGGAGTAGTTGAGGATTGTTGGGCTGCCTGCTGCAGCGACCAATATAACCTGGAAATCTTCCGTTCCACAGTTAGAATCAAGAATAGAGGAGCTGAATAAAGAAGTGAAAGCATCCAGAGAGCAGCTCTCAGCACAGGATGTCACAGCGAAGAATACCATCCAGCAGATCCACAAAGAGGTGGCCCAGCGTATGGAGCAGGTACTACCCATCACTACTAAGCTGATAATTAGTGCTTGTCGTTTATTACGATCCTGGTGTTTATAGAAGAAGCCTTTAGAGGAAGCTGGGCTCGGAAGGATGACTCAGGTGTGAGGAGTGCTTGCTTGGCTCTTCCAGAAATCCAGAGTGTGCTCTCCAGCAGCCACCCACAGGACTCCCAACCCCCTGCCACTCCAGCGCTAGGGCTCTGATGCCCTCTTGTGGCCTCCAAGGGCATTGACATGCGTATGCTCAGATAGACACGCATATACACATAAATATAAAAAATAAATCTTAAATAATGCTAAGGTAATGCATAAGTGCACCTTAATTGTGAGAAATTAATAAGGTAAGGAATATCTGAGTCATCTCTTTACCTGTGTCTCTAGTCCTTTTATATATCTTTCCTTCTTCCATAGCTGACATTTTGTTATGTCACAAGTACATGTCCTAATGACACATGCATGTGTATACATGTTTTTACTAACTCCTTTGTGTTGCTACAGTGAAATACTCCAGTCTTGATACTCTATTAGGAAAAAAGAACTGTATTTATGTTACAGTTCTAGAGGCCCAAAGGCAGGACAGCCCAGGGAGAGTGCTTGTGTTAGGTGACTGGCGGTGACCTGGAAGCCAGGCTGCATTCTCCCTAGGCTCCTGCCTTCTGTCCTGGTGGCGGGCCCACTGCAAGTGTGAGGGGAAGGGATTTGTAAGTGGATCATGATGTTTTCTTCCTGGGGATCAGAATGATGCAGAAAACTGGCAAGAAAGCATGTGTGCAGAAGAAGTGAGATGTGTGTGAGTAGAAACCACAGCAACCAAAGTAAAGAGAGTAGGAAAGGGCTGGGAGCACAAGCACAAAATTCATGCTCAGGCCGCGGGGAATAGTCTTCATTTGTATATGTTTTCACTTGAAAATATTTTTTTATTAATGCTAGGTAACGTTTTCTTTCAAAGGCCAATAAGAAATGTGAAGAGGCCCGCCAGGAAAAGGAAGCCATGGTAATGAAGTATGTGAGAGGTGAGAAGGAATCTCTAGACCTTCGAAAGGAAAAAGAAACACTTGAAAGAAAACTTAGAGATGTAAATAAGGAATTGGAGAAAAACACTAACAAAATTAAGCAGCTTTCTCAAGAGAAAGGGCGACTGCAGCAGCTCTATGAATCGAAGGTATAACTTGTGCCTAATTTGAAGGTCGTGCCTCTGCTTTTCCTTAGTCACAATGCTGTAGGACAAAAGTGCTTTTTATTAGCTCATTCACGTGTGTGTTTTAGATGTCTCATTCTCTGCTGCTAGAAAGGTTTGCTGGAGAAAGGCAAAGTGTTGACCTGTGTCATTAATCTCTTTAAAAATTTTTTCTGTTTAGAATCTATTGGAAAAATTAGTTTGTCTCAAAAAATTATGTTTTGCTAAGATGTGTACATATTAGTGTCAGCTGTGAATAGCTTTAGACTCAAAATTTGGCCAGGGTCTTTTTATTTTTATTTAATACATTTTCCCTGTAACATGAGGGACTGTAGGCTGCATGCGGCCGAGCAGCATCTCCACGGCTGAGCGTATCCAGGGCTGGCCAGAGTCCTAGCGCAGCACTTAGCTCACTGGAGAATAGAACGGATACTTTTTCTTACTGAAAAGCATAGTTATTCTGGAACTGTCCTAGAAGATCGACTAACTGAAGCGGGACTTGTTCAGAGATCTTGCTAGTATCTTAGTTTGGAAATGCTCTCTGTCCTCAGAGGTTCTGGCAGAACCAGTTCAATTACCTTCCTGCCAGTCAGTTAGAAATTTGTGTATGTGTCTTACGCCGTACCATGGGCTGGTCTGGGATTTCAGTACCCTCGGGCCTCATTGGATTGAGAGTGACACTACTCTTAACATGTGACCCTTCAGTCAGTTTGTGACCTGTGGGCCATCGCGTGCCTGCCTGTGAATACTGAGTTACTGTACCAGGGGAGCTAAGAGATGCACAGTGGATTGTGGAAGTGACCTAATGTCCTTTTTTAGGAAGGTGAAACGACCAGACTCATCAGAGAAATAGACAAACTGAAGGAGGAGATCAGCTCTCACGTCATTAAAGTAAAGTGGGCACAGAACAAGCTGAAAGTGGAAATGGACGCGCACAAGGTGAGTGCGGCGTGCAGTGGGCTACAGTGACTGTTAAGAACATGTTCTGGGGGCCAGTGAGGCCTGGGGCTCTCCTTAGCGGCTCCTGCGGACAGTTTACGCAAGAAAGACTTTTCTGCTGTGGCACCATCCAAGTTTGCTGTTATTTAATCATTGTTTTCATAATTTGGGAGAAGAAAAAATATTTAATGTATGTTATTGGAATTAAAATAAATTTTTAAACTGTTAAGATTCTCATTATTAAAAATACATGTTAATATTTAAATATAATTTAATACAAGTAGCTTATCTGTTTTTATAAATATTCTTTTGCTGCAGTGCTAGCAAAAAATTTGCATGTGCACGAACACGCAAGTGCTAGACATTAATAACCAGTGTTCTCACACATGCTAGGCTGATTCCCCTGTAATTACTTGCTGAACTACTTGCTGAAAATACCATTTTATTTAAAAATTAATAAAATATAACTGTAAAGTTTAGAGCTGGAGCAATGGCTCAGCCACTAAAGGCTAGGCTCACAACCCAAAACTGTAAAGTCTGATAAGTGATGGTGTAATTTAAACACAGACAGATCCCTGAGTGAGGCGAAGCAGTGTATAACACCTCCAGGCTCTGCTGGGGCACTGGGAGAGGACTACCCCATGCCCAGCAGTCAGTCCTTCTGGGTTGAGGGTATAGCGCTCAAAGTATGCAGGAGAGGAGGGCAGAGCCCCAGAAGGGCAAGAGGAGTCGGGCCAACAACCCTTGGAGCCTACACGGGGCTAGGAAGTGTTACTGTCAGCACAGCCAGAGTGCAGAGACTCACTAAGTGACCTCAGCAAAATACTGCTTTTAGTTGTGGGCCCGTCTTGACACTTAAGGAGCAAGCTTATTTCAAGTCAATTATGCACTAAAATGACTTAAGTGTTTGAATTATGAACTAAAATATTTAAATAATTATAAAAATTTTGCCTAAAAGCATACATTTCCCCATGTTTGGCATCTAATGAAAAATTACCAGCATGCAAAGAAGCAGAAAAATGCAGTCTGTAGACCAAAGAAATCAGTCAGTACTAACAGACCCAAAATGACTCACAGTATAGAATGGTAGACAAGGATGTTAACAGAGAAGTTGTAAGTGTGCTTTGGATCTCTAAGGAGATAAACCAAAGCTTTACTTGGAGAAGAGGAGATGTGGATGGTATTTAAAATTAATGTAGATATAACGTTCAAGATGAGAACACATTCTAATTATGTTAGAGTTAACAGAAGATAAAATACTGCAGACAGCAAGCTCAGATGACAGCCCAGGCGGAAAAGGGCAAGAAACCCAAGGGCAAAGCCTTGTCAGTTCAAAACCCAGAAAGCCAGGGAGCTGAGCAGCTGAAGCCTAAGCTAAAGCCAGAGCTTGAGCTAAAAGCCCCGCTTCTTCTCCACGCTGTCTTACATACATCTCGTGTTCTGCCTCATGATTTTGTATTATGGCAGGAAAGGCAGGGCTGGCAGTTTGACAGGCTTGGCCATATCGCACCTCAGAAAGGAAGCTGTGGGAGAGGCCACTGAAGTACAGGAAGCCGCCAAGGAGTAATGAAGATAGACAAAAGGAGTATGCGTGTTTTCAGTGGGGATGGGGACAGAGGGAATTTGAGGGGTCAAGGCAGGGTGGTCAGGACCAGAGTAGGTGAGTAAAGAGTAAGAATCAGAAAAAAAGCAACTGGATTTGATGGAGTTAACTCCTAAAAATCTTATACAAAGAGTCGCCACTTTAGTAGAGAAGCTAGAAACAGGCTGTCTTTAGTGTATCCTGCCATCAAAAGGGAGCTTTAAGTGGGTGTCACAGCTACAAGCAAAGGGTTTCTCCAGTGTGCAGAGAATCATTGAACAGTTGCTTTTCTTATCACCTTAGTCATTTTGGAGAACTGGTGAAAACTGTCAATTTTAACTTGACGTTCATCCGTTTCACTCTGCCAGAAAGAAACAGTACTGTTAGGCTCTGGCTTAGTGCCCATCTACTGCTACAGCAGTGTCACAGTTAGTGCCCTGTTGCTGTAAAGAGCACTGTGACCACAGCCACTCTTAAAATGGGAAGCATTGAATTGGGCGCCAAATCAGGTTCCATCCGTTATCAGCGTGGCGGGAAGCATGGCGGAGTGCAGGCATACATGGTACTGAGAATCTATCTGGATCCTTAGGCAACGGGAAGAAAGGAGGGAGCTTCTGAGACCTCAGAGCCCACCTTATGTGACATGCTTCCTCCCACAAGGGCATACCAACTCCAGTGAGGCCACACCTCCAATAATGCTGCTCCCCCAATAATGCCACTCCCCATGAGTTTACGGACCGTTTTCATTGAAATCACCACAAACAGGCATGTCTGTGTTCTATTCTTCATATCACCATGCTAATTTTGTCTCTGTCACTTTGTCACTGCAGGAAACCAAAGATAAACTCAAAGAAACAACTACGAAATTAACACAGGCAAAGGAAGAAGCTGATCAGATCCGGCAAAACTGTCAGGATATGATAAAAACGTATCAGGTGTGTTTCCTTTTTGAGCTAGACTAATCATCAGAACTCTGTTTTCATAATCTGCCAAAATTGAAGTGTGCATGGATTTCTTAGGACCATTAAGGTAAAGGGCAAGTTAGCTCCTATGTTGAGGTACCTACAGTTCAAGGTTGGGAAGATGGTCTGGTGGGGAAAATGCTTGCCGCGCAAGCATGAGGGCCTGAGCACCGGCATAAGAAGCTGGCTGTGGCAGCAGCTTCTGTAACCTCGGCTCTGTGGGTTGGAGAGAGGTGGGGAAGTGCATCTGTGGAGCTCACTGGCAGCCAGTCTAGCCAGATCAGTCAGTGTGAAGTTGTGTGGTCTCCTGTGTCAAAGTACAGTGGAGAGTGATTGAGGAAGAGGCCTGCTGTCACCTTGGCCTCCATGGGCACACAGGCAAGCAAGCGTGCACACATACACAAACCACAGTCTCCAAAACAAAACAAAACAAAAACCCTCTTTTGCATTACGCTGCACACCAGAGCGCACGGTTGCTACCCCTGCAAGGTTTACGTTGAAATGCATTCTCCAGTCGTAGTGGCACAGTTTATTGCAGGTACTAAACATGAGTTTTCAAAGTGTAAGCGCTTTTTATTTTTCCATTAGGAATCTGAAGAAATTAAGTCAAATGAGCTTGATGCAAAGCTCCGAGTCACAAAAGGGGAACTTGAAAAACAGATGCAAGAGAAGTCTGACCAGCTGGAGGTGAGGCTAGCTGTCCTGTGCTGCATAGTGAATTCGTGGTCAGTGGATTGTGTCCTGTAGGCATAGTAAACGTGTGATCGGCCAGTTGTGTAATGCAGAAAGAAGACTGGAATACTCACTACTGTCTACACCTGAGGCCTTTTAGAAGAAGCAGGCAAAAATCTGTCCGTGCTTATGTGTCTCAGGATTTGTGTCTCTTCCTCAGATGCATCATGCCAAAATAAAGGAACTGGAAGATCTCAAGAGGACGTTTAAGGAGGGCATGGATGAGCTTCGGACACTGAGAACAAAGGTAGGCAGTCCCTGAGTCCTGACTCTTAAGGCAGACACTCTTAAGTCCCAGTGTACTGTGATGTTTAAAGTTAGAGAAGGAATACTTCGATTTTTCAAAACAAAAGAACTCAGGGAAAGAGCAACGTTTTTCTTAGCAGTGGAGTGGACTCTTGCTGAGCTGCAGTGCATGTTAGGCACAGGAAGTGCTTGCCATGTGTCCCTGTTTGGCGGCACGCTCGCAGGACTGTACTGATGTATGGGCTTTGGTGCTAAGGACAGCAAAGCAGTTGGCAGAGTGGCTGGACCTCACAGTGGTGTAAGCGTAAAAAACTCTTTAAGACTGAAAATACTATGTCTGGTGGGTTTCATAGTTAAGTGGATAGCATTTGAATTTCTGACAATGTTAGTGACTCCCGAATGTACAGTCTTGGTTGTCAGTATTCATCTGCTGTCCCCACATGCCGCTTGTTCATTTAGAAGGAGGCTTTGGGCAGGCACCTTGCATTGAGACCTATTACTCAGAGTCTGTGATGCCCGCCACGTTCTCTATCCACTTCTCTCTGCAAGAGGGAAGTTGTACTTGGTGAGGTGAGGATTTAGAAATTAGAAAGTCAGTGAGGCAAAGCAGCATTACCTCAGGGTACTGATGTGCCTGTCCTGCCTGTCGTTCCTAAGAGCATGAGGTCTGTGTTGTGGCTTGACTGTCATATTTCATAGGCCAAGTGTCTAGAAGATGAGCGCTTGAGAACTGAAGATGAATTATCAAAGTACAGGGAGATTATCAACCGTCAGAAAACTGAAATTCAGAACTTACTGGACAAAGTGAAAGTCGCAGATCAGATACAAGAGCAGCTCCAAAGGTATGAAATGAGCAGCCGCTTTTAAAAGCTGCCTCAGGATTGTGTCTCTGAGCACAGCTACCAAACACAGATTGCACCAAACACAGATCACTCTATACAGTTCTCTAGTTGACAGTTCTTCAGTTTGTGTCTTTTAACTTTTTGTACTGTCCTTGAGCTCTTGCCATGCTTCTAAAAGTCAAATCAGAGTTTATAAACACTGACAGGAACCATTCAGAGATGGGATGGATTTAGTTTGTCTGTTCTTTAGCTTCACAGTTGTCACTCTTCTGAAAGGGGAACTTGAATCTGCACCTCCATCTTTAACTTTGGACGGGTGTGGCTTGAGGTCAGAAGATGACATCTCTGAGGCAGTTATTTACACTTGCTTCATGATGTCATCTAGCTGAGCCTGGATTCAGATTCAGTTCATATTGTCTGTGCTGCCCATGTCCAGGCAGCCGAGTGCTGCTAAAGAAATGCCTCTCACCCTCAGTCACCACCATGGTAGCATGGGCTACCATGATCCGCTATGTCTTGTCTCCCGCCGCCTGTCTCCTAGTGTCGCTCTGCTAATGTTGACTGGTAACAGGAGGAAGAGGAGCTGTTGGCAGCTCTTCCTTCAGCTTCTTGCTCTCAGTCCTCTGAGCCACTAGCTGTCACAGCATTCTTTCCTGTCACTGTACTAGAAATGTTCTTCCTCTGAATTATTCTTTCCACCTCTGCTGTGGGTCCAGTGCCCTTTTTCCTCCATCTTTTGTCTCTGTACGGACTTTCCTTCATACATCTATAAGTGTTAAGAATGTATGTGTATGGATGTTTGCCTGCTCGTATATGTGTGCATAATATGTGTGCCTGCTGCCATTGGAGGCCAGAGAGAGAGAGAGAGAGAGAGAGAGCTGGAACTGCAGTTACAGACGGCTGTGACATAGGAGGCCATCATGAAGGTTTGAATGGATGGACAATTACAAGTTCTTTTCTAGGGCAATCTATGAAATGAAAATCCCCACACCATTAATTGAATGCTTTTTAATAGCTTATGCAATTTTCTTAAATATGAACTCTGTTTTTTAGTGGTAAGCAAGAAATTGAACGTTTGAAGGAAGAAATGGAAAGCCTGAATTCTCTGGTTACTGACCTGCAGAAGGACATTGAAGGCAGCAGGAGAAGGGAGTCCGAGCTGCTGCTGTTCACAGAGAAGCTCACCAGCAAGAATGCACAGCTGCAGTCCGAGTCCAGCTCTCTGCAGTCACAGGTGCACAGCCTCTCTTTCAGCGAGAGCCAGCTGCAGAGCCAGTGCGGGCACCTGGCACAGACTAATGCCGACCTGGTGAGTATGTCCACACCTCACAGCAGCAGTGCCCAGGCCGGCAGCGGGGCCAGACCCCGTCCTCTGGAGGAGCAGCCAGTGCTCCTAACTGCCGAGTCGTCGAGCCCCACATGTACTTCTTAGAACAGCGCAGCAGGAAGTACAGATTGAATCTCTAGTAATATCAGAGAGTAAGTGATAATTAACCTTATGTACTTTTAGTGACATCTCATTTTTTTAAGTTTTGTTTTTCTGTTTACTGAATGTAATTCATACAATAAAATTTTTCTAAAATGATAAAGAATATTACACTTTTGAAAATAAGGAAACCATGATTTCTGTCATTCCTAAATGGAGTCACCATTTTTTGTTTTGTTTTGTATTTTTGAGACAGTTTTTTTCTTTGTAGCCCTGGCTATCCTGGGCTGGCTTTGTAGACCAGGGTGGCCTACAGAGATCTGCCTGCTTCTGCCTCCCAGAGTGCTGGGATTACAGTGGTGCGCCACCATGCCTAGCTTGGAGTCACCATTTTTAAAGGTCTTTCCTTCCTTTTCTCCTTCCTTCATTTTCTTTTGCTTCCTTCCTTTCTTCTTTTCTCTCTCTCTTTTTCTTACTCCCTCCCTCCCTTCTTTCCTCCCTTACCTCCCTTCTTTCCTCCCTTACCTCCCTCCTTCCCTCCCTTCCTCCCTCTCTCCTCCTTTCCTCCCTTCTTCCCTTCTTCCCTCCCTCCCTCCCTTCCTTCTTCCCTCCTTCCTTCCTGCCTCTTGGTACTTTAAAATGGTTTAATATTCCTGCATAATAAAAGTACCCTTTAGTTGCTCATAAAAATATTCTGAGCCAGTGGGGCAAGTGTGCATGGTGGTACAAGCCTTTAATCCAGTGCTCTGAAGGCATATAGGCAGATAGAGCTCTGAGTTCAAGCACAGCCTGGTTTACATAGTCCTTAGGCCAACCGGGAATACAGTGAGGCCTTGTTTTTCAAGTTCCAGAAATTCAGAGACTTAGATTGCAGCTGTGTCCCGCACAGAGCATCCCCCATTGATGTTGTCTGACTTCCTCGCCTCGGGGTGAAGATGGGGAGGAGCTCCACAGAGCCTGCTAAGGACAGTCACAGAAGACTCTCTTCTGCTGACACTTTACGATGTCAAGCTGAGCGATCATGGGAGTTTTTAAACACTGAGTGCTTTCTATCTTTATCATATTTACTGTTCAGGAAAGCAGATTGCTCAAAGAGGAAGAGCTGCGGAAAGAGGAGGTCCAGACCCTGCAGGCTGAGCTCTCTGCTGTCCAGACAGAAGTTAAAGCCTTGCGTACCCAAGTGGAAGAGCTGAAAGACGAGTTGGTGACGCAGAGGCGCAAGCACGCCTCTAATGTCAAGGATCTTAGCAAGCAGCTTCAGCAAGGTACTCCTGTCTGTGTTAGCCTCCAGAACTTGTCTGCTAGAGCTCTGGTGCAGGAGGTGCACTCTCTATGCTCCCACACACTCTGTGTGCTTGGTTGGCTTTTCTCTCCGCTCACCTCACACACCTAGTCTTCTGCCTCCCCCCCTTCAGGGGTAAGAATAAAGGGGTGTGCCACTGCCCAGCCTATGTGTTCTTTTTCACAGTGTTACTATCCATGGATTAAATTACTGAGATTGATAAACTTGCAGTTCTGTGAGTCTGTTTTCCATGCTAAAGGCTGTTTATTCATAAAGCCACAGAATGTGAAAATCCAGAAGATGCCTTTCGCCAATCAGGAGAATCTAAACCTTTTTACTTTACATTCTGCTACCTGTAGAAGTTGTGTGTTTTTTTTTCTCAAATTCATGTATTTTTTTTATATTTAAAATATAAATTATTTTGTGTTTTAGAAAAACATGAGAAAGATCTGCCTTTAAATTAGAATCTAAAAAGCATTTTAACGTTTACCTCTGTATGTACCTGTGAGTGAGTGATTTCTGAACTCATGTAATGGTCATTGCATCTTGGGAAACATCTCGGAAGTACTGTGAATACCAGGCAACTAGCTGACACAGCCATTAATACCTGGAATTAGAATCAGATTTCTCCTGTTTAAAGTTTGGTATAAATCTGTATGCTAATGTATGCCTGTAGTCCCAGCAGGAGGGCCAAGGTCATCTTCAGCTGTATAGTGGGGTAAAGGCTGGTTACATATGACCAGATGTAGGAGGTAGGAACAGGCGGGTCCCTGAGTTCCAGCTCAGCCTGCTCTATGTCGTGAGTTCCAGGACAGCCAGGGCTACATAGTGAGACCATGTCTTGGAAAAGAAAAACAAATTCAAAGTGGTTTTGGAGAATCTGTGCCATGTGTTGGAATACAGTGAAAAGCATTACGCACATCAGCTTTTGATCTGTATGCCCTACTTCTTTGTGTTTAAAGTAGGAAGGACGTAGCAAGTGAAGACTGAGGGTTTGTTTACTGTGTCTATATTGAGCTATTTGCCAAAATTATTCAGTCTTTAAAGGTCTGCCTATGTCTATGTGTGCGGGTGGGTGGCCTGCTCTTGTCTGTGCACCACATGCTTGCCTGATGCTGATAGACTCCAGAAGAGGGCATCATATCTTCTGGAACTGGAGTTATACACAGCTGTGAGCCACCATGCGGGAGCTGGGAATTGAACTGGGTCTTCTGGACCAGCAGTCAGTGCTCTTAGACTCTGGTCCAGCTCTCTAGCCCTGTTTCTTACACGTTCACTGAAGGCGAGTTTGGGAGAGATTCTGATACTGGGAGGGTGGCCTATGTCTCCCGCAGGCCTGAAAGTTAAAGTCCGCATGAGGAAACAATGCTGCCCTCAGTTGGCTTTGTTTTTATTGAGTCTTTGCAGCTCCAGATGTCATTTATATGAGTGGCATCACTTGTGTTCTAAGATATAGATCAAGGACCGTGGTCTTGTGTTCTGTCATTTTGCCCAAGTAACTTTAACAATTTATGTCAGATGGCATGGCCACTAAAAGTGTCACAAGTGTCCATTTCTTTATTTTCATAGCACGTAAAAAGCTAGACCAGACTGAGAATGGAGGCTATGACAAGGAAGTCAGCAGCATGGGAAGCCGCTCTAGTTCGTCAGGTAAAGATGAGCTCTGTTGGCGGTGATTGCTTTCATTTTAAAAACTATTTATATGCTTTGTTGCATTTTGAGGCTTAAAAATAGAAGTTACATATAATTATATTGTAGAAAATGTACCTTATTAAATATTTATCTTCTGCTCTTAGCTAACATACCTGGTTTGTCCTGGGCTCTGTCTTGAGACTTCCCAACCCATTTTCTTTACCAGCACTTTTGTATTCTGTGCAACACTTCCTTTTTTAATTTCTGGAATTTAGATTTGTATCAATATAGATCACATCATATATAGATTCAGTGTGTCGACTCACTTCCATATTTTAACACTTGGTCATGCTTATGTAGCTTCAGGTTTAGATCAACAGTTCTCCTCTGGTATCTGCAGGGGTTTGATTCCAGAGCACTCAGGGATCCTTAAGTTCTCAGCTGTTGAAATCTTTCGTAGGATGGTGTAGTCTCTGCATATAATCTATACAGTCTTCCCACAGACTTTAAATTATTTCTACATCACTTATAGCCCCTAGCGCTGGGGACATGGTTGTTAAACTGTTTGCTGTACATGTTTAATGTGGACACTTTTAAGGAATATTTCCCTTCTGGAGTTAGTTGAACATGTGGAAGGGGATCTCACACATCTGGAGGAGACAATTGTGTGTCTATATTCATTCTCTTTCTCTCTGTCTGTCTCTGTCTTTGTCCCCACATTGATCTTTCACTTCTGTTAGAATCATTGTACTGTGATCATCTAGAATTGTTTGTTGGGGTCAGAGCATCAGTGCAGTCACTGTAGTAACGTGTTAACAGAAAGTACGTGGTTTCAAATTAACACTGTATCTTGGGTCCCAGCTAAAACCATTTTATTTGGGTTGTTTAATTTGCGCTATTATTTTTTTTCAAGTCTATAATACAGTTGAAGGCCTAATTTGTAAGGTGAAGAGGCTCAGACATTGATCTCACAGGTGCTGGTGGAAAACTAATACAAAGTCTAGGTGTGGGGGGTATAGACTCCCTACATGCATTGTTGTAATGGCGTCTAGATGCGATTACAATCCTGAGAGGTAAGTTTGTATTTTTAGCAGCAATAACCTAGGCACTGAGGGTCAGATAATGTATCCAAAGTCACACCATTTCATAAAGTGACCGGTAGGTGGAGTAGGATTTGAATGGTGGCAAGCATGCCCTTCCCTCTTTTCCCTTGCCCCCCCTTCCCCTCTCCCAAGCCCTTTTGGTTCTCCTACCCTTTCTTTTTACCCCTCTCAGTATTGTCATTTACTTTGTGAATTAATTCAGGCTTGCTATTCTTGTTTTTTTTTTTTTTTTAAGGTTTGTTTCTCTGTTGTCCTTCCTGTTGTTTTGTATAATGTAACTGACACTGCTGACTGCTGACGTCACCTGTGCTTTCAAAAAAGAATGGCGACTGCAAGTAGCCCACTCTGTGCTCTTACCAATACTGGACAGGGTTACAGGAACGACGGAGATGAGGTGAGGGAGGCCTAGGTCACACGCACTGTCTGAGCTTGGTCTTCTGTCTTCAGGGTCACTTAATGCTCGAAGCAGTATTGAAGACCGGTCTCCAGAGAACACCAGCGCCTCTGTTGCTGTGGACAACTTCCCGGAAGTGGACAAGGCCATGCTGATTGAGAGGATAGTGAGACTGCAGAAATCACATGCCCGGAAGAACGAGAAGATTGAATTCATGGAGGACCACATCAAACAGCTGGTAGAAGAAATAAGAAAGAAAACCAAGTATGTATTACTCTGGTAGCATGACCCGTGTCAGAGGACCGCCATTTGCATGGCCTCAGAAGTTGATGAAGAGCCAGTCTTTTCCATGGGCTCATCATGTTATGGAGGCTGGCCTTGCATTCCTGGGCTCAAGTGACCCTTCTGCAGCAGCTCCCTGAGTGTCTGGGCCGGCAGTGCTGGGCCTGGCTTAGTAATCTTACGGCATCCTGGTCTCTATCTTCTGGATTACCTGTTGTGTTCTAGGGTTAGGGGATACAGGGATGAAAGGAGACAAAGCCTCTTCTTACAGGCGGACATCGGGAGAGAGAGTGGAGGGCCGTGGTTCTGCTTTTTAATACTGAGATAACTTTGGATTAAAAAATTGTACTTAGCTTTTAAAAGTGTATGCCTCTAAAAGATGCATAGATTTTTGAGAGTTTCCTACTGATCAAAATCTAGTGGGTTAGTAATTGAGCTCCTTTTGGTGTGAGACACTAGTGGCTTGATCAGTTTAAGTCCACTCGGCAGCCGGGTGGGTTTTCGGATCAGTTAACTGTATCTATAGCATGAGCTGCCCTTTCCTGTGAGGTCAGGCCCCAGCTCAGCTCCACATGCAGCCTGACTGACCCACAGTCTGTGCTGCGCCACAGTCCTCCACAGACACCACGCTTAGTAAGAGCTGTCTTCATGCTACAAGTCGTCTCCTAACCTTCTTAAACAGTTACTCTGAAATAATTTTAGACCTGTAGAAAATTCTGCTTGTGGACTTTTAAAAGAAAGGGTAGAATACAGTTCAATAATAGTTTAATAGAAAATACTAATAAATCAAACCAATGATTTTCACATACAAGTACAGAAAGAAACAGAAAAGCTGTATTTGTATTTCGTCAGATACCATGATACAAAACGGGCCAGGTTAGCAGCCCATCTGATAAGCGTTCTGAGCTGCCCTAAGTTAGTGGCCTAATAGGTGGATACTTTCTTTATGCTTGTGAATCGCTGATTCCTACAGACCCAGTGTTGTATTCTGCAAGCACAGTGTCATTTTGTTTTGCAGAATAATTCAGAGTTACGTTTTACGAGAAGAATCAGGCACACTTTCTTCAGAAGCCTCTGATTTTAACAAAGTGCATTTGAGTAGACGCGGTGGCATCATGGCGTCCTTATACACATCCCATCCCGCTGACAGCGGGCTAACACTGGAGCTCTCTTTGGAAATCAACCGAAAATTACAGGCTGTTTTGGAAGATACATTGCTAAAAAATATTACTTTGAAGGTACTTACGTTTCTTATTTATTGACCACTCAGTAAACATGGCAGCACGAGGCTGCTGCTCTAACACGGGGTTCCACGCTACCTAGAGAGAAAGTCAGCTTCTTGCTGGACAGACACTGAGGTGAACTCTTGGCTTCACAGCGGATGGCTTGTGCCAATGATTATAATTAATAACCTTTTAATATTACAGCATTTTTAGTATATTTTGTGGCTTTTGTCTGACCCAACTTTTCTGTCTTTGCTATGCATGAATTGGTAACTAGTAATAGATTTTAAAAATAGTTTTAAACCTAAGTAATCATTATGAACTAAAACTTGATGTAACTTCAATGAAAAGATTATAACTTTGGATCAGGTGTGTCACACACATTTAATCCCATCAGAGGCAGGAGGTGTTCTGGGAGTCTGAGGCTAGCCTGGTCTGTCTATATAGCAAGTTCCAGGACTACACAGAGAGAGCCTGTTTTTTAAAAAAAAACAAAACAAAACTTGGAAATGGACAGGCCTATTTCACTAAAACGTGTCTCAATTATCTCAGGACCAAGAACTAACCTCAGTTTCACAGTTTAGGCAAACGTAGTTGAAAAGGTTTTTGTATTATACTTAGTACTTCTGTTTTCTCTCCCCCTCCCCCCACTTATTAAAGGAAAACCTGCAAACACTTGGAACAGAAATAGAGCGCCTTATTAAACACCAGCATGAACTGGAACAGAGGACGAAGAAAACCTAACACAAAGCTCTTGCCCAGTAGACAGACAAGAGCCACAGAGCAGCAGGTGCCACTGTCCATGTCCTGAAACAGGCCCGCTTTGTGTCAACTAATCAAAAGTTTGCTCTGCTTTCCTGTGTAGACGTGCCCTTTTATGAACAGGTGCGATGGTGTGTGTGCTGGTACTGTGAGCTCAGCGAGGCTCATTTCTATGCGGGGCAGCTCAGCCGCCTGGTCGCTGACTAAGTGTTTAATGTCCTTATTGCCCGAAAGTGCTAAACATTAGTACCACGGTTTAACAAACAAAACAAAAATTTGCCATAGTTCTTCTCTTAGTGATTTCAGCCCTTGGAAAGCATTCATGAAAAGACAGGTTATCATCATTCAACCATTCGTTATTTCTGCAACACAAAAAGAAACCTAGAGAGATCATTAAGTTTTTCAATTTTGATCATGGCCCATTGGTCACCCCTGTGTCCTAGCTACTTCAAAGGCTAAAGAGGCTTTCTTGAGCTCATTAGTTCAAAGCCAGCTCAGGCAGCATCTTAAAATCCCATCACAGAATAGCCTTCAGTTGTGCCGTAAGCATGTATGTGAGTACTTAAGTCAACTCTGATTTTAGTGACAACCTAGACAGGAGAGCTGGCTGTTGGTGACTAGTGGTGGCCAGACACAATCTGTCAGGTGTCCTTACCTGTCGTAGGTACATTTTTATAATTGAGTTACTGGTTGAAATTTTTAGTTACTTAAACTATGATTTTTAACAATATGTGAACTGAAGAATTTCCTGTGGGTTTGTTAGATTTTGAAATGTGGAATGGGCCAGTCATTAGAACAGATAAATGAAGACTTTGAAGCTGACATACTTTCTGATCAACCTTCGTTTCCCTGACACTGTGTAAAGGTTTGGAATATAAGGGCTTAGGCAGTGGCTCATATGTTGGTCCACAGCACAGGGAAAGTTTCTTCAAATGTGAGGTTTCAGTATATTGTTTAAAATTATACAGTTATATCTTAATAGCCAAAGGAGCTTTTGAGCTAAGCTGTTGTATCTTGTTGGGTATTTACAGTGTTTAAAATGTATACTTAAATGTTGCCAACTGTGGTATCAACATTTCTGTCATTGAATTTTTTTTCCAGTTTATAGCTTCTCACTTAGCAGAACCTAAACACTAAACATTGTGTTCAGACTTGTCTGTACCCTGGAGCCCTTGGAACAAGCTTCTGTTTTGCGTTTGGGCTTTTTCCCCCCCTCTTAAGGGACTTGAGCTTTGGGATAGATGCTTGTAAAGAGTTGTGTGGTCTGTAGCTGGCCATGGTAACACATGCCCATAATCCCAGCACTCAGGAGGAAAAGAAAGATGAGAGGGCAGCCTCAAGTGCAAAGTGAGCTGGAGGCCAGCCTTGGAAGCCTGTGTTTATGTAGAACTGTGTGGGCTCTAATCGGTATCATGTCAGCACCCTGTGAATGTGTTTTAACATTTCCTTAAATCACCATTGATTATAAATGTAATTTACCAAATCCTAGATGTCAATACAATGTCTTTTTGTGAATATTTATTGTTGTCCAAAAATTATCTCTTAGCTTCATAGTGAAAATGCATTCAAGGTGGTTTTATTTTTAAAATAGTTGTAAAAAGTATTAGCCATAATATGTCTTGCTCTTTTTATTAATAATTTATTAGAATAAAGAATAAGAGGATAAGTGCAATAAATTCTGGATTATTTTCCATTTATTCCTAGACATACTTGTAGCATTCCGAAGGTCTGCATGGTGTAGGCAGTAACGTGGCTACATTTCCCTGGTTCCTCAGCTGATAATTGACTCATGAGTTACAGTAACTGGGTTCTAATTCCGAGACACAAAAATGTATAATGGAGACCATTGTGATCATGTCCACAGTACCCTGTGCCTGTCTACGTACTTTAAAGTCTGTACACACTTGGTACTGATGGGATAAGCTAGTGTTGATGTCCGTGCCTCCATGTACTGGGAGAACTTAATGTGATAGAGTATAAAAATGTAATTACTAAAAGACATGCTTTGATCATATTGTTGCCTTTTCCCTATCTTTAAAGCTTAAAAAGCTGGGGAAGCTCTTTATTAGGCTTCTCCTGTGTCCTTTCAGATATGGTCAAGACTGAGCAAAGTAATGTATAAGGGGTCTGTATCAGAAAGAACCTTCTCCACTGATTTATAAACAGCTCCTGGTACAGATTTCTGAGGTCCCACTGATTGAATATGTGGAAGAAAGAACCAGAGACCCCAGGGGGGAATTTGTTGTATTTGATCATTTGAAAATGATTATTTGTTACTCCCATTGTTCCATCTCACTCACAGGTGAGTTTGGACAAAATGAACAATTGGCGGTTTGGTTGTTTCCACATAACCACTTAGAGTGACTCAGTCAGGCTATGCGTGTATTTATTAACCTAAGAAACACATTGCCTAATAATAAGCACCTTGCCAGACACTCTGCAGGGGTCATGGTTACTGCTGTCCAGTTTTCTTGGGGCTTGTGGTCTCTTAACAATGGCAGGGCAGACTTCAGGCCCCACACCTGGGTATTTCTGGGCTAAGTAGAGAGCTTATCCTCTTGCACAGGTAGATAGATGGCCCAAGAGCCTCCGCCTGGCCTGGAGCTCTGCCTGGGGAGCACTGTGAGCAGATTGTGTCTCCATGGTGCTCTGCACATCTCTTTAACTTGGAAAAGGGGGAATCCGAAGATCATGAGGGAACAGGGACGTACGTTAGAGTTTAGCACTTAGTAGCCTCACTGGCGCCTGCTTGGTGCCCTGAAATGAGTCCAAGTGTGTCAGCCTTCTCAATTCTCTTGTACAGGCTGCTGGTTGTTTTCTAAATACTTTTACAAGAAAATAGGCTAAAACTTGGGGGGGGGGGGAAGAAACTAATAGGCAAAAACTTGGTGGGGGGACAGAAACTATTATTATGTGATATATGTTGCCATGCTAAGTATATTTTTTATAAATAGTGTCATTCATGCTTTGGTACTCTAATCTCTTTTTCAAGATTTTTTATTACACTTTATTCCTTTTGTATCCCAGCTGTAGCCCCCTACCTGTTTCCCTCACAATCTCCCCCTTCTCCCATGCCCCTCCCTTAGTCCACTGGTAGGGGAGGTCCTCCTCCCCTTCTGACCCTAGCCTATCAGGTCTCATCAAATTGTCAGTCTTTAACACCAGTTGGTGGCGCTGGCAACCTGAGAACTGTCCAAAGAAAAGCAAAGAAATTGAAAAGCAAACTAAATGGGAATATATGCATGTTGGAATACCTATTTCCTCTTCAGTGGGCTCTTGAAGTGCATGTGGCTATTCTTCATGACTGCTGCCGTCTTCCTGTAGGCGTCTGCGCTGTATAGATAACCCTGGATCACACTGTGCATTCTGTAAATACTCTGTATAAAGCAGTGCTCTTCAGAAGAGTGTGTACATTCTGTACTTATTATTAAATAAGCAGTGCCTGCTTACCATGTCTATCTCGGTGGTGTCTGTAATCACTTACACATTTCAAATGGCCAAACACACTGATTCTCCACTGTTAGCATGACTCTTCCAACTGCTTGATTCTAGCTTTTAAAGTAGACTGATTATTCTTGCTTCCCACATGTGTCTTTATCCTTTGAAATGTGATTGGAGTAAGGTTAAGTTAGATGCCAGATTTCATTTTAAACTGTAGGTGGCAACACTGGGCATTTTATAGAAGACATTAGCCCCCTGGGCTAGAAAGTGTCTTACTGGGCTGGTGGCCTTCTGATGCTTTCTGGGGTTTCACAGGGCTGTGGACCTTATGTGCCCACAGTCTTTAGCTTCTTCAAGAGTAAAGAACTGCTTGATGTTGGAATGGCATTGGCTTCCTCGGGTTAACACTCGATGAGTATTTAACATCTCTAACTTTCCAGTTGCCTCATTTATGCCACATCGTCCAAGCCACTCATTCATGGGGAAGGTCTCCAGAAATCCAGATCTGTGCAATGTCAGGAAGCAGTTGGCTGTGTGCGCAGACAGGTTTCTGCCTAGCTGAAGAAACAGTTTGTATAAAACAACAAACCTCAAATGGAAAGACGTGTAGACTTACTCTGCTTCTGGGGAACTTCCAGTCATCTTTCTATACCCAAAGGCCATGCTATTTTACCAGGCTGCTTAGCTTTTGAAAGGCTAGTTTTTAGATACAAGAAGCCAGGAGCTTCCAGAGAGACCATGCATGGTTTCTATGCAGTCTTGGTCTTTATTAATTAATGAAAACCTTAAGGACAGGAGGTAGGGGTTGTGTGCGCAGCACCCTTCTGTGTCTCTGGCTCAAGCACTGTCAGACTTGCTGACCATTAGCTGTTTGGGGTCTATAGGTTCTTTGGGGCTATACCAATCTCCGTCAACAGCAAACTGAGCAAGCGGTCTCACCTCCTCTATCTCCTCCAAGCCACTGGGCCACAAAGGCCTCTCTCTGGCTGTCTCCTCCAAGCCACCACACCATCCATCTCTGGTCTCTCCAAACTGCCACACCTCTTTCTGGCCTCCAGAGTCCTGCTCTGTGCACTGGGCAAGCCAGTACCGGCTGGCAGAGACCACATCCACAGGAGGCAATTCCCAAACTAAAACCCCACACTTGGGATTAAAACAAAAACATGTTTACATAACATAACAGTTTTTAAAGAAACCAGGTAATGGAGTTTGGTCATACAGAGAATACAGGACATCTCCCCCCCCCCCCCACCCCCGCCTTTGACTTGTTGCCAAGAGATAGAAAGTTTTTTCTTTAAACCTTTACTGTTAACATGCCATTTTTCATGAAATTTTGAGACTTCCAACATATTTCCTATTAGTAATTGATCAATTTCCTTGTGCCAAGAGACCTGGCAAACCTGTTTGAGACCGAATATGAGCAATGGATAGTTTCTACTTCTGATGGTCTGTTGCAATTGCATAAAGAACAGTTAATTCTGAGTTATCAGGAATAAATTCAGTTTCTATATACAAAACAACTCTGTACATATTGAGAGTCCGTTAAACATATTAAGAGATTCCGCAAAATCTAGTAATACCATAAAGATTGCATACAGTTCTGATACTTGAACTGAAGAATATGGGCTTTGGATCACCTTGCTTATTTTGTCTGATTTATAACCTGTCATTGCTATCTTGTTTACATCAGTATAGAATGTTAGTGACTCTGGAGTTGGTGTTCCCTTTATATACAATAAGCTGTGTATGTTTGCTTTGAGGGTATTTGTTATTAATTTCTCCCAAGTATTTACTACAAGCTCTTTGCCAGTCTTCAATGATATAATCTCAGTATTAATAAGAGGCACAATTTTGACCAGATCTACCTTTTATAATTTAGAAATCTTTTCTATGTATGTCTTCAATTTTTTGCTTTATGTGCTAAGAAAATGCATTCCATAATACTGTCTTCCCTTTGCATAATGAGCCCAGTAGGAGACTAAGCTGAAGACAAAATGACCAAAATACAATCAGGTTTAGGACCAGTTCAATCCAACATGTGCGTCCTACAGTCTTGTTCTACCAGAAGTTAGTCTTTCTGCGTTAGCTGCTAAACGTCTTGGACTGTTTAAGTCTGGATCTTTTTGTAATGTTTGAAACAACTCATAAGTACTTAATTCATTTGTAGGCCTCAACCAGTTAATATCACCCATTAATTTTTGAAAACCATTAAGTGTTTGATTGATCCCTACAGATGTACCTTTTGTGATCAAAATTTATGTTGACTTATTTTAGAACTGTCTGTAAACCCAGCATGGCAGAATTCTTTTTGTTTCCTTAAACATTTTCTCTAAAGTATCTTCATCAGAATCAGCCAACAGAAATATCATCCATGTAATGATAAATAAAAGATTGAGGAAATCACCTACATATTATTTTTAGTGGCTGTTGCACAAAATATTGACAGAAAGTTGGACTATTTAACATTCCCTGTAGATGTACCTCCAGGGGTGTCTCTTTATTGGACCACCATTGTTAAAAGTGGGTAATGAGAAAGCAAATCTTTCCCTGTCCTGCTCATGAAAAGGGTATTGTGAAAACAAACAAACAAAAACCAATCTTTTAAATCAATTACTATTATAGGCCATGACCTAGTTAACAAAGAAGGTAAAGGAATTCCATGTAATGAACCCATTGGTTGAATTACTCAATTCACTACTTTTAAATCCATTATCATCCTCCATTTTCCTGATTTCTTTTTTACAACAAACACGGGAATTCCATGGGCTGGTAGACAACTCTGTTGAGCCTCCACATGTTCTTGTACCAGTTGTTCAAGTGCCTGCAATTTTCCTTTTATTATGGGCCACTACTCTTGCCACAGAGGTATGTTTAAAATTTATTTTAGGGGTAGGGCTGTTGTATTTCAGTAGTGGCCTCTCCTATAAGTTTAGAAACTCAGTTCCTGTGATGTCCTGTGCTTGGACAGTAGGAACAGCTTGTGATTCTGATTACAAGTATCAATATCTTTCCCAGGAGCATTTACCATTTCACCGATGGTGTCATTGGCTGTCTCTGAGATTGCAAGAATATTAAGTACCACATTATTGTAAAAGATCCCTTCCCTATGTTTATGGGTATGTCAGCCACATGAGGTCTCAACTTCCCTGTTTGCCCTTTCTGTCCCACACATTTAATGCATTATACACTTTGTCTTATTTAAAATAATTTACCAATTCCTATAAAATTGTGTATAAACCTTCCGAAGTTAACCAATCTGGATTCCGAGACTTTTGGAAGAGGATACTGATGTCAGCTCCAGTATCTACCAAACCTCCTATTTCAACACAATGCACTTGCACCATTAATCTGGGTCTCTGATCATTAACCACTATTTGCCAGAAACACCTGCCAGAAACTCCCAGGTGCATCTGTTCTTTCTACTGGAGCAACCTTGACTTTATGTAAAGAAACAGTAACAGCTGAGCAATTCTATCCCTTGCATGATTTTCATCTCCTTTTTTTACATATGCCATGATTTAAATTTATTTCTTGCAATCCCCATCTACAATACCTGGATGCACAATAAATCCTCGAGAAGCTAATTCACTTCTTTCTAAGATTATTCCTACATTCCTGAAGGCAAAGGACCATAAACATGGTTATTTTGTAACATTTAACTTTTTGGGATAGTCTGACCAGATCCAAAGCAGTGCTACCTTCAGTAGCAATGTATGCCATCAGCAATATTTCGTTCTGATCTTCCTTCCCGCTTGTCATCTCCTAGCTGACCAATGAAAAAAGGTTATTTTTTTGCTGGGGGTACACAAGCTGACAGCCCCTGCCCCCAAATTCATTTAATGGTGGCAAGAGGCTACCCTCTAAATCTCATCTAGATATACACTCATTAGTCCAGTGCTTTCCCTTATAACACCTACAAATTCCAGGGAATTGGGGCATTCTATTTTGGACCGAAGGTGCTTGTTCACGGCTATGAGTGAAATTACCGTATTTTTCTGAGTTAGCACACTTGCCACTTTGAACTCTGAAGTTTTAAGCCTTACAGTTTCTTTGGATTTGGCCAAATTCGCCACAGTTAAAGCACTGGGCATTTTGATCTTTGTGACTTCTAGCTACACTTTGTTCTGTGATACTGGCATGATGCTCCTGAGAGCCAGGGTCAGTCTCTCTAACCCATTCATCTCTTGGGGCTGCTTGTGCTTTTAATGGTCTAAGTGCTCTGACATTGCATTCTCATATGGCAAGACCTTTTTCAATGCCTATCTGGCCTCAGGGTCTGATAGGCCTCTATTCACAGCTAAACCCAATCTCTGTAAGAAGGCAGTGAAGGCTTCTCTAGGACCTTGTACTACTTTAGCAAATGAGGTAGATGTTTTCCCTGGGCTTCTCAACCATAGCCCAAGCTCTTAGAGCTGCAACACAACATTATTCAATTAACATCATCAGATCAGATTTGTTCTCATAAGTCAGTCTAACGCCCTTTACTAAGCAATTGATCCTTAACATTCATCCCCATTATATTCTGTTGTTCTATTTTTGAGGCTTCGTTCCTCCACCACAATAACCATTGTGATTGCCAACCAGCCTATAGCGTAGCCGGCACCAGTCCCTTCCAATCTTTGGGAATAAGTCTATTTTGCATAATCCAATAGCATTTCTATTGGATGCCGTGACTCGTCGGAAGCCTCGCCACCATCAGCAGCAGGCATGGGACGGCAACTCCTCTAACTACACATTTGGCTCCAGAGCTCTGTTGGCCCAAATGGCTTCCAGGCTTTTCCCCTTCCCCGCTGCATGCAGGTGCTCTCAACACCTTGACACTTTCAGGTTTTTTTGTTTTGTTTTGTTTTATCTTCTCCATTCTTCTCTCAAACCCCTTCATATCCACTCATAACTTTTCTACACTTTGTACTTTTTCAGTCATTCTTCCAATCTTTTTAAAAATAGAATATAGGAAGAAGACAAGGCAATATTGAAAATCCCTGGGAGCAATGTGGAAGAGAGCCCAGTGGCAG